TGTGTGTGTCTGTCTTTATGTTTACCATAGCCTCAGCTCATTTCACTTGGCACTAATGAACAAAAGGACAGAGAATCCATATGAGTGCAGTGTTTAAAGAACCCCCCAGAATTGAAGCTGCACAGATTCTTTCAATTAGCAAACTCCAAATATTTATGGACTGAACATTTCCTCTCTGGAAGGAAGGAGAGTTCTATGTGTGTGTGTGTCTCCTGTTGACTCACACTGGGTTGTATTGATCCCCTGGGCTCATGCTTCATTGCACTTGAGCTCTGGCACCATCCTTCAAAAGCACATCTGTCCAACATCTATAAGGTATACTGTCTTTTTAAATCGGAAATCGTCACAAAATACCGAGTACATGAGGCTAGATGACCACTGTTCAGCATAAAGCAATGATGCCACTACACAGATGATGTCCATTAAAGGATAAGATTCTGACTTGGAGAATCCTAACTCCACCCTCCATTTCCTTCATGCACCAAGGGAATAAAACACATTGTGCCCCCAGATTCACCCCTATTTTTACCTGGCGGAGTCTGAAGCTTAGTTGGGTAGAAAGGTGAAAGTCCTTGTCTCTCTCCTTCTGTGTGAATGCTGTTCTTGGCTTTTGCCTTTCCTTGGTGGAGAGGAAGCCATGTCCTACCTGTTTTGGCGGTACCTGGAACCTGCTCAACATTCAATGGGATGTATATTCTTCATATATATTCATAATCTACCTAAAATAATCCTAATTTTCCATATTGTAATTTTACTATTATATATATCAATAAAGGCTAATTTAACTTGCTATCTATTGCATGTCTGTCTGTCTGTCTGTCTGTGCCAAAGGAGGGATCCCTCCTCTGTTGCTCTTCCTGAGGTTTCTTCCTGCTTGCCCTATTTTGCCTATTTTTTTGCCCTATTTTCTCTTTTATCCAAATCTATGGTCTAAGGATAGAGGATGTTATATGCTAAACAGATTGTTAAGTCCTTTCAAGCAAATGTGTGATTTGTGATATTGGGCTATATGAAAAAATAATATGACTAGAAAACAGTCAAGATGATAATAGTCTATTATCCTTGAATTATAAGGATCATATCTGCAGAGAAGTAATACAATCTCAATGGCAGATTCTGCTGGGCCAATAAAGAAGGGCCAAAAGATCACTGTAGGAATTAAGATGTGACCATTTCTCAGTCACCCCCTCCCCCAAACACACACACACACACACACACACATGCTTACCATGACAAATAGCCTGTGACGTGCCTCTGTGAACATGGCACGGAAGGGTCCACTCCCTCTCCCAAGGGCTGATAAGGCGGTGGAGTCTGCCACTGGACGGGATTCTGGAGTGTCTCCTCACTGGATTTGACTTCCAGTGAAACATTTCACCTGTCTAGCAGCGGCTAGGGAAACTCCTACACTGAAATCACAACAGTAGCATTTCTGTTTCTGTATTTTTGCAGTTGCCAGGTAACTGCAATACAATTATTGCAGCTCATGATCTTTGTCTAACCGTTAGGATTTGCATATCGCCTGACTCAGTGTCTTCAATGTGCAAAAGAAGCACAGAGGCGAAGGGATAAATACAAATTAATGGTTGTGTTGAAAAGAAGACAGGAAGACCCTTTATTTTAATGACAGCAGACCTATGGAAATGATGCAAGGAGTGTAAGAATTTTAGCGCAAAGGTCAAGTAAAAGTAATAACCTTTCCAGGGGATGTTTAAAGACGAAATGCACTCTTTTTTCAGGCTAAATTCTTGCTACCTTCTGGCTTATCAACAAATATAACGGATCAGTGATTATTAGTTAAAAAAGAAAGAATCTGGTGGGAAATATGTGTTTTGTTTAATCACTTACTGACCGTTGAGATATGTTCAGGACATTTCATTGATAGATGCCAAGGTTTCGACCACACGGTCTTCTCAACGTGATACACCTGAGCTGTAATGATAATCTGTCATGTGTAACGTGTATTGTCATGTCCATGTAGAATAAAAGGGCAATTGGGAATGAGATAACAAGTATTTCTCCATCCTTGTTACCCAGCAGCTGCAAAGAATTTATGGACGTGTGCGTCTGCCTCAAGGCTTCTGATGACTTACTAAAACAGAAACCGATGATGAGACAATCATCAGCTCTTCTGGTGCTTTGCCTGGATTTTTGGTAAGGTGACCAGATGTTTGACCGGGCACTCTCAGTTTAAATTATGTCCACTGTTCCAACATATCTGCAAAAGAATTTCTCATGCCAGATTGTGACTCTATTGACTTAAAAAGCTGACGTGTCCATAAGACGGTCCCTGAGTCATAGCTAAAGAATGAGCAGAGCTTACAACATCAGCTGGTAATTCATGTTCTTTTTCATTGTATTATTTTGACAATACAGCAAAGCAAGAGCCAATGTGGTGGGATGTGAGTTTGAAAATATATCTCCTGATTGTCAATATCAAATAAAGGCAAAAATCCCCAAATAATCTATTTAAAACATGTGATTGATTGATTGTAAAGCTGGTGATCTGCCAGTGTCAGCCAGATAACAGCAGTTTGTCTAAGTCCTTTCGCAGTTGTAAATTCCCTGTCAGTTTTGTTAACAGTGAATTGTGTTCATATTTGTATTGCCAGGGGGAAACAGTTGACAGAGTTCTGCTTGCTGAGTGGAAAATGTGACAGATGCCTTTGGATGTGAGTTTGACATGTTCAGGGTTTGAGTTATTCTAAAGAGGTCTTCTGGGTTTTGGAGTGAGCAAGAGGACCAGAGGAGAAGAATCCATATTAATGCAATAAACTTACACCATCCTTGTTTGTTCAGATGTTTTTTCTCGTGGTGAAGAGGGAGATCAAATGGGCACATCAATTATAAATTGTCCATAAATGTTACTGATGTAGGGCTTGCTCTCTGGATTGTAGAATAACTCAACTCTATGGCTCCAGTGGGCCTTTGGACAAACATAACTGTGATAGTGGACAACAAAGACTAAATGCTCCCTCGGCTCCGACTGTTTCACAGACCTGATTTTGACGTTGAGACTTTCTCTCTGAATCAGCACCAGATTCAACCAGAACCTATAATTCCCTGTTTTTAAATAGCATGTTTTTATTTTAATGCAAAGAGTTAGATGAGAAGACTGACCCCATTCAGCAGGTGGTTAGTTTAGTTACCATGAAAGCTAAAAGGTAACAAAATCAGATTACCTGCACCTCTAAAGCTCCCTAATTAAAATGCCGGCCTATTTCTTGTTGTACAAAACAACACTGTTTTTTGGACAGAGCCAGGCTAGCCATTTCCCCAGTCTTTATGCTAAGCTAAACTCACCAACTGCTGTCTGTTGCTTCATATTTAACATACATTTAGGTTATGTGCTGGACTATTTTTTGTCTGGCTGCACTGCTCCAGGCCAAGAAAACGTCCTGCACATGATCTCATGTAAAACCACAACATTTTTTACGCTTGAGTTTTTGCGCAAAAATAAAACATGTAAATTGGTGAACTTTAGACGTGCTTTTAGGTGGATAATGTTACCTTTGTACAGAGTTGAGTTAGCTGTTTGCTAAGCTAACCGCCTGTAGATTCATATTAAGCATACAAATGAGAGTGGTATCAAAGCAAAAAAGCAAAAAAGAAAGCAAATAAGCATAGTTCCCAAAATGTCGAAGTATTCCTTTAAACTCTCTCAACACACATTTCTCTTTATTATCTTGCTACCTATACAGCCCACACTCCAACTCAGTGATCCTCTCAAGTTGTATAAAATGTCTGGCCACACACAAGAGTCTACATATGGACCAACACAGTTTTTGGATATGACTTCAGCTCACATATCTCACTTTGGCCTTTCGGAGAATAACATTATACACAAGAGACCCTAAGATCTCTTCCTCTTCGTCTGAGTGAGGCAGACAGGGAAAAGTAGAGTCAACACTGATGGCTCACACATGTGGCTGTGAAAAGGCAGCTCAGACTTTGTATTTCAAACAGCAAGGAGGAGGTCTTCAGGCAGTGGGACACAAGGCATGAGTGAGTGTGTAAATATGCACAAGGTGTTGATGTAGTGCTGAGCGTATACGCACAGTCATGCATACATCCTCCTAAGCAAAGCACTGCATGAGGTGCTCGTAGTGCAAACATTATATCAGGAACACATGTGTGGTGGTGTCTTCAAGATTTGTTTTCATCCTGCACGTCGATAGAGGGTTTAATACAGACTTTTTTACATGGATTGTAGTCCTAAAAAAAACTGACAATAGATTTGTTGTTTTTATCTTGTAGTATTGCAACTTCAGATTTTTCAGTCCACAACATTTAATCAGTAAAGTCTGAATGGATTTCGAGGGCTTTAAAGGTCCAGTTCACCCCAAGACGTAAATGTTTTTTTTCTCTATCCCTGATCTTTCCATTCAGGTCATTTCAGTGTGATTTTCGAATGTTTCAACCTTTCCAGTGAGCACAAATTCTGCCAAAGTACATCTGCCATCTGTCTCCACACAAAAGGAATACAGTTCAAACAAGCTGTGATGATTAGAGCGTGGAGTCATTTTATTCTGAGAGAGATGTTACTGCTGAGTCTTTCAAATGAAACTTGTGTTGCTTTGTCTGACACTGTACTGCAGTGAACTCCATACAATTATCTCTAAAACTCATGTAATCACACAGAAAGTGACTAAATGGAGAAATATTGTAGCTTAAAGAAAAATACAATACGTTTTATTGCCCTTTGAGTGACCTGTCGAATAGGTCATCATGACTTATTGGACTTATTGTGCTTCCCATGACGACTTGAGAATGCAGAGGAGCTACTCAGGTGGACATTATGGCCTCTGTAAGAGCTTTTCACCTGCCTCATGTTTGAGGAAAACTGCTCTCCTATTTTCACAGATTAATCTTTAAGCTCAAGCATCAGCATTATTTGCTTATTTTTAAACAGCATTCATATTTGTTTATGCAATCCATCCCATAATTATCATGCATTTCAGCCTGGATCAAAGTGGCAGACTGACCAAATGACTGACGTTTTCAGTGAGGCTAAAAAAAATAATCACACAGAACGCACTTAGTCATTTTAATATATTTGTATATATTCATATATTACACATTTAATACAGGCACAATGAGAAATCATAAAGTAGAGACACAAAGTGGCTGAGATATTGGTAAAAATTTACAATTTATGAGAATCATTTACACAGTTTTTGCTCTCTTTAAACTCTGTTTAATACAACATATAAAGAAAGAAAGAATGTGAAAGTGACTGAAAAAAGGAGCCCTGTAAGTTTATTTTGAAGGTTTTTGTAGGGACAGCAAGAACCAGCTTGCTAATACAGAATACAATTACATCTGTGTACTCTTTTTTTTTTTTTTTTTCTCTATTCGGCTCATCTGACCAAAACCACTGATATAATTAACACTGTACAAATGTCTGATGCTACAATTTTAAGATTTTATGTAAACTCATTTCTTACAGCTACCTTCAAACATTTGACTGATTAAAATTCAGAATGAAATACAAAATTGAATTTCAACAGACATGACTTAAATGGACATTTCCATCATCTATTTAAGACGTCTGCATCTAAATTATTAATAAAGGCTTGAGTCTTACACCAGGTAGTGTACTACCGTATGAGTCATATAAAACATTAAAAACTGGTCATTACACATAATCACTGTGGCCCGATATGATGAGATAAATAAAAAAAAAAAGATCAGTTTCCAAGAGAGACATCAGATGAATCAAGTATGGATATGAGTTTAAATCACCTGCAGTCACTGTCAGTTAAAAACTACAATGAGCCATATTTTATAGCACAGCGGACAGTAAACAGTAAGCCTGATGTGAAAAGTTATTTCCTAAAGTCCTATCTGCGAGGTCATTTGGCCAAGTGATGCACAGTGTATGAAACTCCTGCCCTAAAACGTTTCATCAGTTCACAATCACAGCTTCCAGCAACTAATTGCATCTCCAGACATGTCCCATACCAACACATTAACCAATTTGAGGACCATTACATGGTTGAGGTCAATGAAAAACATCCTACACAACATAAACATACTCCATCAAGAAGTACACCAGCATCTACAGCAGCAGCCTTCATTAGTAAAAGACAAGAATGAAACACCAAGAGTCAAACGTGGCAATTTCCCATCCATCCACCAAACCATCTATTTTCTGTACCCACTTGTGCTGTTTAGTAGTTGCAAGAGGATAAAGCTTTTCCCAGCAAGCAACGGGTGAGAGGCAGGACAAGTCAGTAATCTATCACAGGGCAATGGCAGTACTGTGTCACAATATCTAACCACAGTCAACAACACTGGATTACTCAGTGTCGAGTAGTTGTGATAAGGCATTTCGATCATTAATTTGGCTTTAGTGTGCTACTGCTCACTTACATCGTCTACTGCACAGTGAGTGTATGAGAGGTGAAGGTCAATTGACGAGCACTGAATAGAAAAAGACGAGATATAAAAAGAGTTAAATGATCAAACTCAAATCACAGGAGGCAGACATTGCTGGAAGACAGTTGGGTTGTAAAAACAGTTTCCCTTCAACATCCAAATAAAGGATTAAAAAAAAACATAACACAACTGGCACATTGTTGGTGCTATTCTCATTAACTGTGCTGTAGTATACAAAAAGTATTAGAGAAAAGTTAGGATTCAGGCACATTTCTCCATTAAGAGGGCACAAGTGTGATTTAAAAAGAAAACACTGCCAGTTTTTGAAAAAAGGCTACAAGTTAAATTTGGGGTCATGTCCCTTGATATTTTTTTTAAAGCATCTAACATTTGACAAAATGTTTTACAGTCAAGATCGCTGATATTTTATATTAAGAATAAAAATTAAGGGCTTAAAAATGTAAGAAAAGACATGACTGAAAGGGGGATTTACAAGGAAAGAAAATCTAAAAAGACCACACTGATCACAGACCCCATTAGGGGTGATTGATTAAAAACTCCATGCATTTTACCACAGAGAAACGTAGCTTAAATCTGGAAAACCCAAATCTGGGTAAAACATTGACATTTGTTGCCTACTGATCCACAGTATAAGAGGAGGCACTGAGGTCAGATTCTTTTTTTGCATTTGTTTGAAAGCGTGTTATTTTAAATGTCAAGCTTGTGCCACGAGTGTGTGAGTACTGTTTAAGACAGAATCTACCTTCATTGCTTCATTGCACATGATCAAAAAAGACAAATGGTGAGGAGGAGGAGGAAAAGAGAAAAATCAGTAAAGAAAGCTGATTCGAGAGTTGAGTCAGAGCTGGTCGAGCAGAATATTCAGTGTTAATATTTACAGTTCTGAGGGAGAAACCTTTTCTTCTCTTCCACGCAGAATTCATGATTTTGTTTTAAATTCCTTATAGGCTCTTGAAAAATGAATATAAGAGGAAAAAGAGCATCTGAAAGATTGTTAGTGCACTTTTTTTTCTTTTTTTATGATTTCAAATACAATATAGATTTATATCTAATCCATAAACTGTTTCTGACTATACAAAAGTGAATTGATCAGAAAGCATTATTAAACTTCATATCTACACATTTCCTGAAAGCTCATCTTCTTTTTCTTTTATTTGTTTTTTTTTTTTTTTTAACAGTGTTCAATACTCAGTGCTGTTTTATTGTAGTGAGATTCTCGCTTCCCGGGCAAAAGCCTGACTGTGCACAGATGATTCCAGAGGTTCAGGAAGCCTCGCGAAGTTGCCAACTTTTGTGTCAAGCGAGATTTTTTTTTTTTTTCTTGAGAACCAGAGTGGTGAGTCACCTCAGCAATCTGCCATATAACGTCCTAAAGAAGATCAAAAGACGTGCAGTTTGAGTTGTTGATGCATTAAACATACGAGTATCAGGTATGTATGGACGATCAAGCGTACTACATACCTGTGGCAAATCTCTTCTTGTTGAGAGAAAGTCTGTATCCGGTCCCCTGCAGCTCCATGTCCACTCCTGACAGGGTGCCCCCCTCACTCATAAACTGCACTGCCAGAGTGGAGGGGCTCGATGGACCGCTCGACAGTTCAAACTTAGCCCGCAGGGACCCGGAGCCTGGGGGGGTCAAACACAAACAAATACACTTACTTTCCAGCAACTGATCCAGCTCTCTCCCTCATTGTACACATTCTCTACAGGGAGGATTTAGAACAAGCTGCCTCTTATTGCAAACAAAGAAGACAAACATGATTTACCTTCATTTTCAGACTTTTCTGAGATGTCACTCAGCTTCCACAGACACTTATTCTGCTCTGCATTCCTAAAATGACAGAAAGAAATAACACCTTAAACTGCCGCTTTTGAATTAAGATAGAACTGTTTTCAGAGCCCTTTAGATCTCCTGCTGATATAACAAGCGCCACAACTTACCAGATGGAGTTGGGCAGAGACTGCATGTTGGTGACTCCTCCGTCAACAGGCACTAAGATCTGTACGTTCGTGAGCGGACCGGGGGAGGCCATGGAGTCCGGGTTGTATCGGTAGTCTACCCGCAGGTCTGCTGTACTCGGTGTGCACTTCCAGTATACGGCCAGGTTGAGCGGAGTGGAATGGATCCCATCAGACAGCACCTGAACACAGCAATACAGTGTAAATGTAAAAGTTATGATATACTTAAAAACATGAGCAAAGCTGCTTTAAGTTTGAGTTTTGATATTCCTAATATCCTCTGCTGCAGTGAGACTGTATGAGACCATGTTTGATGTGTAATACAGAAGTCTGAATGTCAACTTAGAAGGTCAGTTAGAATGTTATAATTTTGGCAAAAACAGATTTAGTTGGTTTGCTAAAAGGACAAATTCAAGATAAAAACAAAACCAATGTTCTTTCAAAATGTCCTGGAAAACTCAAACGGAGAAACCAGGACAAGGACTAATTCTTCTCCCATCAACAAAAAAGTTGTTTGTTGATCTGACCTAGCCAATTCATGCATTGTTTGTTTTACACCTCGACAAGCGTATATTTAATTATACTCCTAGATTTCTTGATCCACCACAAATAAACTAAAACTTTATTAGTAAAAGTAAAGTAGTGTTTGATAGTTTCTCTTTAACTTTCGAACATGGCAAGTCAGTCTGCTTATATTTCTGCTCACTCAACAACACTCGTGTTCCTTTTTTGCTATTTTCTCAGACTTGTCTGGATGGTGAAGCACTTAGGGAAATATGTTTTTAGAAAGCATTCTTTAACTACAGTTATTTTTTCTGGATAAGGTTCTAGGCTTGACGTTGGCTGACCGACCTGGTATTTTAGGATGTCCACATTATAGTAGGAAGCTGAAGGATTCTGATCTGAGGCTTTTCTGAGGTAGGACGTCAGCGCTTGCATGTTGAACCAGAAGTCCTTGGAATTTGAGTCATTTTGGGAAGGATCACTAGATAAAAGACAAACAGTAAGAAAGATACACACAGACACACACACACAAGAAATAATCAGAGGCTCAATTATTCATCGCTCTTCTTGGCTTTGTGTGTAAAGCTCCAATAGCTTGGAAAAAATGACCCTGTTATATCCAACCAGCTACTAAATCATGAATTCCATTTGATTCAATTAGTACAGCCATGTGGTCTTGGGATAACTGGGAGGAACCAGAGCAAGACACATTTAAAAAACCCAGACAAAGATGTTTTTTTTCTTTACTTTTTGAAAAAGGATATGAACTGTTCACATCAAATTTGTTTTAAAAAGTCACAGTTTTAAAATAGAACCAACAAATTGAGAGGCATTTTAAATCTTGCACTGCATGTGAGGTAAAAATATACATTAAACACCTTTGACTAAAGAGGTGAAAGATAATATAATGTACGTTAAATGAAGCAGCTGTTGTGTGAAGTATGCTGTTCTTTGCTATTTTAGGGTGTGAAGTATTTCAGAAGAGACATGGGCTGTTGAGAACCTGGCTGTTAAAGTCTGGTGGAAAATACTTCCCTGACAGCTTAATGATAGGTTTATGTCAGATTACTAATTGAATTTCCTCTCACTGACGCAGACTACATTTCCTTGATCCTCACTCGAATCATCGAGTCCAAATCCCTCTTTCACTTAACCACGAGTCTGACAAGTTATCAACTCATTGGCTCTGCAAAGTACTTGCCTAGCAATGCAAAGTGGCATTTTCTTTTGTATTTTCACTGTTTTTTGCAGATCACCTCACCTGTATAGTAGCTGTTGGTTGGGTAGGATCTGCTCCAACCTGCTGGTGTTCTTCAGTTTGAAGGTGAGCACGGCGGGGGAGGGGTTGGTGGTGAACACCTTGATGATGCCCACAGGGAACGACAAGGTCATGTCTCCTGTGATCTTCACAATGCACCTGTGGAATGTAGCCACATGAATATGAATGGCGTCTTAGATAGCATTTTAACCAACTAATCAAGAGTTGTTTCTCAAAATATTTATCAAATGTCAAAAAACTTTATTCAAAAAATTATTGTTAATCTTTTCAACTGAGTACCTGACTACAAAGTTTCATTGAAGGTATCGGGTCTAATTATGAATCAGTACATTATCCCACTACCGTAATCCACTTTTTATATTAAGATCTAACCAAGACCCTTTTTAGAGTAGATACATTGTCTTTGAATCCCATGTAAAACTCATCTCCATCTCCACCTTTCTTAATATACATCTGTATGCTTCTACAGCCTGATACAGAACCAGTTTCTGAACAAGTCCTGGGGCGAGAGGAGTCTTCCTTCAGTTGCGGTCGGCCTGTGCTGTGGTGGTAAAGGCCCACAGCGGGTCTCAACCTCGCACCGTGTCTCCGCTGCATTGCTTATGAAATGTTCCATTTGCTAATCTCTGCAAAAATAAGCCTTTTGCACAGCAGCAATTTAGCAGCAGTTAACCAATAAAAGGCTGTATGTTTTCACTGCCCCAGACTATAATCTGCCCCATGTAGGTTATCCACTCTGAAAGAATGGTGTCAGACTAATGCAAAACATTCCACACATGCACAGTGAGAGGGAGATACACTCTGCAAAATGCACAACCAAATGTCTACAGAGTATAGTGCACACTGGGCTAGGGACCAGCACAACACCATGTACTGTGTAACTTATAACGTCATATGTGTAGTTAAAGTTCAAATGTGGACAAAAATGTGTATGTGTGCATGTCCATATCGGGGCCTTTGAGCAGCAAGAGGTCATGTGAGACTCACTTAGTAGGATCAGCTCCTTTGAAGTAAGCATTAACCGACTCTGTGAAGGCCACGGCAATGGGCAAAGCATCTTGGGATGCCAGGGTCACAGGGCTGGGACCGCGAGACGTCCCTAAGAATGAGAAAGGCACAAAGTTTAAGGTCTGTTGACTCAGCTGCAGATCAGACTTCTGTAACGGCGGGCTCCAAAGCTCACGTCAGAATCAGGAAGGTTTGATCATGCAAAGATGCATTATATCATTTACAATACTTGTTTTATTGCATTTCACAAAGTCATTCATTCATATGTCTCACATTGCATATCAGTACATTCTGTTATTTTTCAAATAAACAGAAGTAAGGTACGTTTTTAGAGTAAATCATGCTACAGCTGCTTGAGTTTAAATTAAGAACTATTAGACAGAAAGACCTCACACAGCATATTAAAAATGTACCAGTCAAATCATTCACGACTTAATTATTCTACTAATTAAATCTTTATAATGTTAGGAGTTGATGCTGTTGACAGTAAGACAAATGTGAGGAAAGGGTGAATATGGAGAGCACACAGAACAGAAAAAAATGCAATCACTGCAAAGCAAAATATCCAGTTCAGTCCATCCAGCCCATCCTCCAGCAGACTGGTGTTAGTTTTAGTTAAACACAGAGGAAAGTCTTCTTGTATGAACTTCAACCATACCTGCTGGTGTTTCACACCGCTTCTCAAAGGTAGGCAGCTTCGCTATGAACACATCATCCTCTTTACGCCAAATTAAAAGGCATAAAGAAGAAAAGAGGAGATAAACAAACCCAGAGGGCACAAATGTGAGGAAAGATGATGCTGAGCACAGTTGTAAGCCAGGTCCTAAATGATGATGGTGACAGGTGAGTCCTAAGCTGACAACTCTGATATGATTACACAGAGATGAGCTAACAGGCCCTAATGATGACATTCTTAGCATCAGTACAATGTATGCAGAGTAGAGATGTTTGACTGTAAGCACCACAGAAAGGAGTGTCTCTAAGGGAAACAAGGCAGACTCACTTTGGCTTAGTAGAAAGAAAGGGGAGAGGGAGAGCAGCTCTGGATCTGGGGAGGAGAGGGGGGGAGCAAAGGTGTGCTCAGCTCCTGTGAGGAGAGGAGTCAGGGAAGGAAGGAAGTGAGGAAGGAGAGAGAGGAGTGAGAAAAGAGGAAAACAGGACATTGTGTTGCAGAGACAAAAGGTATGTGGCAGGTTGGTGAGGAGCTGAAGAAAAGGAGAATAAATAGTCAAAGTAAAGGGAGATGCTCTACAGACGGAGAAGGATGAGGGAGCTTACCAACAGTGGGGGTGTTACCAGCGCTGAGTGAGGCATTCGAGGACAAGGAGGAGGAGCTCTCCGCCCGGGCGAGTGGTGCAGTAGGAGGAGGGCTGGCGTTAGATGTCTTGGGTGGGCTGAACGGCCGTACCTGAGTGACAGGAGTTGATCGATTGTAATACATCCTTTACAATGTCAGAATGGAATTTTAATAGCAATTAATGATGCACTTTTAGGGAATAATTACTCACAATCTCATTGATTCCTGTTAGTTTTCCAGTGGGGAGTTTGGGCCTGGAGGAAGGTCGTGGTGGCGGAACCAGGGCTCCAGCTGTAAGTGGGGTTGTAGGTCGGTTTGGTACTGGCACTACGTAGAGAAACACATGTAAGTTTGAATGGTTAATGACAGTTAAACAGCATGGGACTCTGGCACAAACATGTATACACGTGCATGTGCTTCATTCAAGTAGATGCAAAACCATCATGCTTTAAGACCTCTGGTACAAAAACGATAATAGCAAAACATGTGTACAAACATGAAAATCATAAACACACATTCCAAAATTAATATCACAAAAAGAAACTCAAAGACTTTGCAAACCAGGCATTGAGTTAGAAAAGCATTCTGTAAAATAAAATAATAATAAAAAATAAAAAAACAGAAAACATTAGAAAATTAAATTGTCAAGTCCAAATATAAAACAAATGCACAATATGAGAACATACAGTTAAAATAAAACAAAATATAAAACAAAACTCCAAACCTCAGGCGTAAAACATGTCTCTAGCATCGGTAATAATGTTACCATTGAATATTTTGCTTGATGGAGCTGCTGCCATCGCCCTATCTGTAATCCCAGAGAAGACATCAGAGAAACAGGAGTTGCTGTCTTCTCTGCTGCCCACTGCTTTGCAGTAGGCGTCAGCAGAGTCATCAGAGAGGAAGCGACTTGACCTGCCGGAGCCGGACTGAGTCCTCTGGAGCTCATTCGCAGACGGCCCTGAGCCCTGACGGCGAGGTGGAGCGAGATTATCACTGAAGGCGATCCACTGGCTCTGGGACCAGGACACGGAAGAGAAGGCGTCAACGCTCTTTGGAGGGCTGGCAGCAGCCAGGCTTTTGATGGGGTCGACTGGCTCAGTCGGCAGGGTGATGGGGGCGCTCTGGGCCCTCGCTGGTACAGGCTTGAGTGCTTGGAAAGGGTTTTCTGGTGAGTCCCAGGGAGAGGATGTGGATGAGGATGTGGATTGTTGGCTTTCTGCCAGTGGAGGAGAGCGCTCCCGTTGAGGCACCGTCTCAGCTGAAGGGGGTGATGTGATTGACAGAAGCGATAAACATGACAAAAGTATAGAAGGTAACCCGATCGGACTTTTAGTACCACAAGAAAATCACAAAAGCAGCAGCACCTTATCATTATCTCAAAATGCTAAAGGAATATTGAAAAAAGCCAACTACTCAATTCATTACTGACTACTAAAATAAAGAGAAATGTCAATAGGTAATAGCAATAAAGCATGTGTTTTCAATTCACACAGTCACACACACACACACACACACACACACACACACACACACACACACACACACACACACACACACACACACACACACACACACACATAGCTCAGAATATAGCAGCAGCAGTTACATTTTATCTAAGCTTTGAAATATTACCGTTGGTAGAACTCCTTAATTAAACCTATATACACATTATTAAATCTTTAGTTATTTACTGTTACACATTTTTCTTGTTGTAACATGAACAATTACTATCTACTGTAGCTCACAGTAAGATCAAAACATATGTTAACTCTGTGTAACCATCATTTTGGTGTCCTATCCTAACAGAAATATCATGCATATTTGAAAATATCAGCAATAAATGTGCGAAGCGATGACCCTGATTTTTAGACACAGTGAAGAATGCATGCGCTGTTTACATAAAGAAAAACTAAAATTGAACAGAAATACCAGGCACAACAGTAGTTGATGAATGCTTCAAGTTCTTTCTGTTAAATCACTGTCTGATAAACAGAGCACACACATTTTACCTGATGCCTCTGGCAGAAAGACGTCTGAGTCATTCATCAGAAAAGATGGAGATGGAGGGATTGAAAGGAAGATAGAGGCAAGGTCTAACAAGAGAAGTTCAACAAAATATATAAAACCAATAAAACATCAGGTAATTTAATTGCAGACAATGGCATTGTAACAAAACAAAAAGCAAACAAAAAAACAATACGTAAACCAGATGAAATAGGAAAACAAAAGAAAAAGAAAATTGACACAAAACAAACAGAAATACAATATGTGATATACAATAAATGAAAAAATCCCCCCCCAAAATTACAATCTCTGGCTCATTCAGTAAGGGTTTAATCTTTTTAATACCTCAGAGACTAGACTTGTTTAATGTGTCATGTGTGCATTTCTGTTAATACTGCTACACTGTACGCAGAGAGATTTAACAGGCTGTAAGCGGGGACTTAATTCCATTCACCATATCTTAATCAGGGCACTCTGTGATGCTCTTTTGACTTTTAAGCCGAGACCTTTGACAGTAACGAGACACTGTTTGACAACATATGTGCCAGTTGGCTTTATAGCCGACCCTCTGACCTCAACTAGGTGCCAATTAACTGTGGATTACGCTTAACCTAGGTAATGGGTCAGTGCTAATGTCACTCTGTTTAAACACTGGTGTAATGCATGTAAAGCCATGAGAGTCACACTATCAACACTGTGTGCTTCAAAAACCTTGAAAGTAAAACAAACACTAAAATGTTTTCTGGAGAACTGTGGTGACCTATTTAGAGAATATTTATATGAAACAAAAATGTAATATAGAACTGCAATCACTTTAAAATATACAGATACTATGTAAGCATAGAGAAAAGGGCGAGATAGTTAAGAGCTGTACAAATCTGGAAAATGATTGAAAAGGCAAACTGGGGGAGAAAAAGCCTGCTATTTTAACTCCATAAAGTCAAATATTCTGTTGACCTTAGGGGTCAGTTCCTCCATCTGGGACTGCCCTGAGAGGAAAGGTTTCCAACTGAGCAGCTCAGAAAAAGAAAGAGAAGAAAGGGGAGAGACTACATAGTGCATAGAGAGATGGTGAGATGAAGGAACAGAAAGAGCAAAAAGGACTGGATCATTGGGTCGACCGAGTGAGTAAAAAAACAGACTTCTTGTGTCAGATTTTCATGAAATCAAACTCCAGTTTTGATACGATCTATGGTCTGTGTAGAAATTCAATGTATTTATATTCTGTAATCGGGGGAGGGATTCACAGGAAACGATGCATACGTGTAATCCTGTGCATTTTATTTAACTCCCTTTACTCCTTGGCAGAGCTGTGTTAAGTCACTGCTAATGCAAACCCAACATTTCCTGCTGCTGCTGTGAAACAGTGAAGCAGTCATCAATGTGGTATATTGTCACTGCGGTAACTGATCATCATCAAAATATAAAACAAGACAGCAGTCATATTTTTTTGCCAGTGGACCATTTTGGGAAATTTAACAATAAGGAACAGCCGCAGTGAGCTGTTAGATGAAGAGTTGCAGGCTGCACACCCTCAACTTCTCAGCAAGACAACCAATTCCTTTTACTGCGTCTTGATGTTGAAAATCTCGCGCCATGATAGGGCGATGGCTTAAATAGAATGTGAGTTTGTTTGGCTGCACTGTAAACAGATACACCTGTTGTTCTTCTGTTGTATCTCTGACAAAGTACCTGCTCAACAAGCGTTTGCCATATTTTCTGTTGCCACGAGTAACCATGGGTGTCGCCAAATCAACCAGGACTGAAATCTTAAGGATTACAAATGTAAAAATAAGGCTTTACCTGTTGTTGATGACACAGAGAGAGAGGACCCAGCTGCGAGAGTCGGGCTGAACGGGTCCAGAGACAGAAGGTCGTTGTTAGCCAGTCTGTAAGAGGACAGAGTGAGAGAGAGTCAAGTCAAAGACATGCACAAACACATACAAAACAGACCATTTACAAAGCATAGATAGTGTAAACATGGTGAAAGTGGTGGCAGTCCTGAGCACTTTTATACATACTCATATGATGTTGGCACTCTGGTTTTTGCCAGCTCATCACCTACAGTGAAAGAAAAACAAACAGAAAATCAGGACCCACAGACCTGCACAGAGTGACGACAGAAAATATACTCTCAGAGAAACTGAAAAATTAAACAAAAACCCAACAAAGACGTTTTCACCGGCTAGTATTTGAAGAGATTTGCCAAAAGTCATGTTTGAATTACATCACACCTTAAAACAGAAATATAACCTGAGGTATATAACCTGAGGTTTTGACTCAACAAGTGAGAACCACCTATGCCATGAAAAGTCACAGAAATATACTTGATTCAGGTTAGATACAATATATATTTTTTATTTCTGCCTTACACAGTGAAACCTTAATATGTTACCCAAATACTGCAAAGGGTTAACTTCAAATGTGTTTTTAATGTGATGGTAACACTTTACAACAGGGGATGGAGTGGTTTTGTAACTTAAAAAAAAAAAGGTCAGGCATTGCTGTGTTATTTTGTGCCCCTTTCTAAAGTGTTACAATACATTGCAAAGATCCATATAAGCAACCTGAAGCAGCACTTAAGCACCAGAGGCAAGAGGACAAAATTGAGAGGACCTGAATATAAAACCATAAATGTATGTAAATCCTTAAAAGATAAACAGAAAGTTTGCAGTGAGAGAACGCAGTGTCAGTGGTGTTAGCTTGTGTCAGCTGGCTGTGTGAAAAGCTCCGATGAGGGGACAGAGATGAGGGCTGTGGCAGATATTTTGAGGGGAAGGGAAGGCAGGGTTTTAGGCTAACTACTGTAGTGAAAACATACTCACCAGGCCCCTTGGCCTTAGAGCTTAATGTAGATACTCCTGTGACCCCTAAGCGTATGTAGAGTATACATCTGTCAATGCAGTACCTTGTGTAAATTGATCTTAACTCTATCAGTGTTTGAGCTGCAGACTGTGAGTATTATTACCATTTAGTTACATACAAACACAGTATGTGAAAGCAGCTTTTAAATAGAGAAAAACTGAAATTTTTAACTCATAAAAAGGACGTTTTGGATTTATATTCCGTGCTTTTTCACACCTGCATTAACACCCCATGGAACATGATACATGACCTGTAGGTATAACTATTCTTCCAGCATTTCTCAAGAACTTGGGCAAGAAATCAAACACACACAAAACTACCCTTCTACAAACTGTGCCAGTTTGCAGAATGGAAAAGATAATTTCTGACATGTCAAAACTTAAACAGCTAATTAAGCAATTAATCTTATTTGTACCATGGGAGGGAAATATCCCTCAAGCTCACATTTACAGCAAAGAACAGTTATTTACTTTTTCTCTGGATATGTTGGTTTTGGCTAGGTTTCTGGATTTTCCTTTTTAAAGACAACCTCTTTAAAAACAACTCATGCCAAGAAAAATGTAGTTGAGAAGTTGTACAGTCGACCCCCTTCACAGTCATCCAGCAACACACAGATACAGAAAGGTCAGACAGAGAAAATACTCACTGGACTGGTTCCTCCGCATCTGTCCCTGAAAACAAAAACAGAAATTAATTAATCAAAGATGCAGGCGACCCACCACGAATTTTCAACCTTTCCCTGCCAGAGGTTTGCTCAATTTGTTGGATAAAAAATCACAAATGAGACCAAACTGCTAAGCAGAAATGATTATTCTCTAAACAGACAAACATGCATTTTACAAAATGAAAGTATTGTAAGGGTCATCTTGTTTTTCTCGGCTTTTTTACAAGGCTCGAAACCTTATGCCTTTGATAGTGTTAATGTAACAATATATACGATTTCAAACATATAAACTAAAAAGAAAATAGGAGGGTCCAAAACTGTATTATTAATTATTCCCAGTGGCCAAGGGAATTTTCCACTTCAGAGTTAAAGACAGTAAATCACAGGACTACTCTCAACTCACACATACCAGACGTTAAACCTAGGGTGAAAAATTCAGCAGCCCAAAACCGTGCATGGAAGCCCATACACCGATCAGTCAGGGACAACAGAGAGCGTGCCCCCAACACTTCACCAACTTCCTTTACAGAGCCTTTTTTTCGGGACATAAATCGGCCATGTCATGCTGCGTAACACAAGATATGCAAGATACACTCTTGAGGGTCACCAACCCAATGGAAACTTAGAGCATCAATTTCAATAAAGAATTTATTCACACAAGGAGAAAGGTTGGAAAGGGGGGGGTTGTCAAGGGAGGAGGGGAGAAAAAGAAACAAAATGGGTTTAAGGAACATAGCAAAAGCGTTTAACCACCGTAGAGCTGTGAGGCCAGGGTTTAGTCCCACAGGCGCTAAGCGGCAAATGGGTTCAATTACGGCTCTTGCTGGCCACACACACACGACTTCCATTGCTATTTCAATAAAGGGAACACCGCAGAGGGGGAACCGAACAGGAGGAGAAATGAAAAAGACAGAAAAATGAGCACTGAGGGGAAAAAAGAAAAGAAAATCTCTCAATAATTCACACCAGATGATGCAACGTTCGTCATCACCTTGGATGTATGTTTTAACTTTAATCCAGAACTTTTTGGTAAATATAAAATAGGAACAGGGTGCGAAGCAGCAATGTGAACAGACAGAGAGGAAGGCAAATATAATGTAATGACTACTCTGGTATTTAAATGCAAATCAGAGTCAACACACACAAACAGCGGTCGGGGTTTTTTTGTACTTTTAGGATGAGAAAGTAATTGTGGGTTTGAGTCTCGACAACAACCGAAACCAACTGCAATGAACAAAGTCAAAGGTTTAAAAGAGAACATCTTTCCTCCTGAATCTTGTTACATTAAATAGAAAAAACATCCTCTATAAACTTGTAACTTATCTTTATCATTAATTCCATGGGTGGGAAAAAAAGAAAACATTTGTAAAAACTAGGCAACTAACCCCGTAAAGTATTCATAAATAACCACAACAGAGTCCTGTCTAGAACAAGTGGGCTCCAATAAAACCGATAGAGTGAAAGCAAACAAAGAAACAAGGGGAAAAAAGAGTGAGGTACAACACAAACAGTGAGGAGAAACAGCAGAAGAAAGGAGAGGCTGAGGGGAGTGAGCATAAGCCGGGAAGAAGATGCCGTGACATTCGTTTAATGTTCAGCCGGGAGAGTGCGGCGGGTGAAACCCACTAGACCCCCTTTGCGACACTGAGCGTGCCCTCTCAGCCGCTCCACAACAACATTAACAACAACAGCAGCTCAGTGCACACACGGTGCATGTTTGCACACAAGCAGTAGTGGTTTTAAATTTTAATGGCAGCGGCTATTTTCATGGAGCAGCGGAGAGTGATTCAGAGATTGAGTGATGTTGAGGGACAAGGAGCTGAATGAAGGGCTCCATGACTGAGGTCACGGATCAGACTGGGCTCTCTCTGTGTGTGTGTGTGTGTGTGTGTGTGTGTGTGTGTGTGTGTGTGTGTGTGTGTGTGTGTGTGTGTGTGTGTGTGTGTGTATAGCCTGGCCACTGCCGCAAAGCTTTCCCTTAAGTGCCTACAAGGAGGGCAGTGTGCATGTGTGCGAGTCTGCACTAGGGCCAACAACATCAGATACTTTATTCAGAAATGATTGTTTCTGAGTTTTTGATATTTTTTCTTTAAAAAAAAAGTAACCCAAAAAACATTTGACATGAAACTGAATTTGAAGTAAAAACCAAACATGAAATGTTTGATCAGGCACCTTACTGAATCAGAAGCAAATCTGGCATATGAAATAAATTAGACATAACACATACGCCTTTCCAATTTAAATAAAATAAGCTTCAAGAAAGAGTGACTAATGGCAAACATCTACAAGAGGCATAGTACGGTTTCATGGCTTCCAAACTACCCTAACAGGGGTTAGATATTCTCCTGTTGCCCTCTAGTGTTGCAGAGGCAGAGTGTTCCACTGCAGCAGGAGAGGACAGCAACAGGTCTGTGTTTAGGATTTTTAGTATTTGGCATATCATGGAGCCGTACCGAGGTCGAGGGTGACAGGATGATGTTTCCAATGGAGGCTTTAAGCTCGTCGATGGTGGCTCGGTTCTGATGCGTGCCGTTGTTTGGCTGAACGGGCTTGATTTCTACGTGGAACTTCCTGGGTTCATCTTCATCCTCTGAATCGCTGGACGAATAGAAGGTATTCTCTTTGGCATGTGAGCAAAAAAAAAGTTAAGGACAACAACAGGCACAGAACAGAAAAAGAATGATACGAGAGAGATCATTTTTATTTAGCCTTGGTCTCAGACTGCAGATGTGTGGGAACAGAAAAACAAATAGCAATCAACCCTTGTTGTCTTTAAGCTGGACTGAGAGTGAGAACAGCATCAAGACAAATTAAAAGGATATCATTTTCATTTACTTCTGGTCTGATACAGAAGCCCTCTGCATCAACTTGGGGAACGTTCTACAAAACACAAACAGAAAAAAAGTTATTTTTAAACTCAAATTTTGTTGCACTATTCAATTCAACAGAGTTAAACAAAAAATATCATTGCATGTGTATCCTATACATTTTAAAGCAATTGTACAATTCTGCACATCTTATTGTGCATAAAAATGTTATATTTTATTGTTGAATTACATGTTAATATGGAATGCATTATTTTCATTATTGATTCATCTGCTGTTTATTTTCTAGATTAATCGATTAATCATTGGTCAATAAATTGTAAATAAATAGTGAAAAATGTTGGTCCCAGTTTCTTATTTTGTCTGTTCAAAACTCAAAGATATTAAAAACAGGAAATCTTTTTTGACAGGCTCCAAACAGCATTTTCTGCCATTTTTGCATGAAAAATGACTTTAACAATAATTTGATTATCAAAATAGCTGTAGCAATTACTTTTCAATAGATCGACTAATCGGTTAGTTGACTAATCGTTGCAGCTCTAATTTAAAGTGACATTTTTGACAAAAAATTCTTTCAAACTACTGTAAATTGGTCAATATATGTAATATTACACAACTCAAAATAGGACAAACAATTAACAATTAACTCTAGTTAGTCACTAGTACCTGTTGAATGGTTTCAACCTATTTTCTCTGTTTGCATATTAATCTCCCTTCTTATACTAAATTCAAGTCAAAACTTTATGACCTAGTCCAAATTTAGCATTTTTTATTTTAATTTAAATTTGTCTTGGCATCAAAGCCAATTAGTTAGTGTAATTTATCAATACATGGAAAGTTCCACATTCATCAATGGCAGTCTTCCAAGGTTTTACACAGACAGGAAATAAATCACTCCCTCATCTGTATATCTTCAATTATAATGCATATGGAAATGGGTATATTACATTTGTAACAACTGAAACCCACTGAGAATAATCTAATTCCAGTATCTCCCCAAAAAGAAAGCACTGGAAAATGTCCCTTGACACTTCCACACAATATTTTGCTAAAACACTTCTGAACAAAGATTGTTATCATGTGCACCATGAGCTTACATTTTTACTATTTGGATCATCACATTAAACATTTATATATGCGACTTGGATATAGATGTGAGGATACATTAATTAATATAGGATAGCAAAAATGTTTGGAAAAATAAGTTCTCCTATTTTCCTTATGTTTATGAACTGTATTTGCTAATTAGATGTTTTGCTTACAAATAAAGAGGATATTTACTATTATATTAATATTTACTTTGTGTGTTTGTGTGTGTATTATCTTGCTTACAGCATTCTGGATGTCTATGGCACCATAGTATCCAGGGGGAGCGCCATTGGCAGTGTTCTACAAGCACAAACAGAGAGAAATGAATGAATGAATAAATGAACGAGCAAATCTACAAAACAAACAAGAGGGAGCAGAGAGAGGGGGAAAGGGATAGGGAGAGAGCGGGAGAGAGAGAGAGAGAGAGAGAGAGAGAGAGAGAGAGAGAGGCGCAGAGCGACAGAGAGAGTGAGAGAGTCACATGTTTAAGTAGTAAAATACACAGCAGAATAAAACGATTTCCTTCTTCCTGTTTGAACATGCAAAGCTGACATACCAGCTGAAGTATGGACTCAAAGTTAAAGAATAACTGGTGAAGATTATACTCACAGCAGCTTCAACTTCTGTCGACTCCCTGGAAGACAAAATCATCACATTATGATAAGAGGGTTTTATTTTATTCTATTTTTATAAGAGGGAAAACATAAATGAGTCGCATAAATTCTGTTAGTGGATTAAAGATGCAGAAGTTGTCACTTACGTGGAGTCTGTGTCCTTGTCTTTCCTACGACCTGGGATGCCAAATGGTTTTCTCTTTCTTGGTTTGGCACCTTCATAAAAAATTTTTTTTTTTAACACAGATTACAAAATCACTAAGTCATTAAATCTGTTCCTGATCCTGATATCTAAAATATGAGTTTTAACTGTCTTTAAAGATTCAATGCTTTACTTTAGTGAAATGCCACTTGCAGTGTATTTGATGAAATCTTTCTTGTATATCTTTAAATTTATAAGAAGACTTACCTTCAGTAGCAATAGCTGCATTGCACTCCTCAAACTCAATGGGTCCTAATGAGACAAAAAAATATTTTAGGTTCATTTGGCACAGAAAGGGTCAATGACCCACTGCTGTGAATGCTGTGAATGTACATCACGCAATAATCACACACACACACACACACACACACACACACACACACACACACACACACACACACACACACACACACACACACACACACACACACACACACACACACACACACACACACACACACACACACACACACACACAACACTTTGGCAAATATACAACATGCAGTCTGGCGTGCCATACAGAGAGTGTATACAAACAGGGCTAGGCTGGTCCCAGAGGGCAGACAGGGTCAATAGCGGAGTCAACTGTGTGTCTGGTGGCCCTCACAGAGATGTGACTCCCTCCTGGGAACACAAAGCGCTGCTCCACAGCGGAGTCTTCCTCACAGAGATATACAAAACCCCACCAGGAACAACTAAATCACCACAATTATAAACCAATTCTACATCAACGCGTGAGCCTTGGTATTCACAGCAAACGGCAGGTATAAAGACTAAACTGAGCTGAAACTAAATCTGCCCACATGGAGCACGCAACAACACACTAACCCTATTACAATAAGACAAACAAGTCCAAGATTACATTCAGTGAAGTGTTTAAAGCCACATGGACAAATCTGCTCTCAGGCTTAAGAGATGCCCTTCTCTACTTCTCTCTGGCATGCAAAAAAATGACCACATATAAAACAAACAAACATAATCAAGCACACAGGAACATACAAAGACACTAATATTCATGGCGACCTTGATTAATATATTGCACTTAGGAAATTATCTATCTATGTATATCTATTCCAGCTGACGACCACAATATCACTTGGAGCACAACCAGTTGTGGATTTACTTGAACAAAAAATAACATTGCTTTTGGTTATTTGGATGCATCATTCAGAAAAACAGCGAAAAACAACAAAGTTTACACTTAATTTAATGCTCATCAATTATACACATTTACCTCCCAGGCCCTTGCACTTGGATTGTCACGCTTTCAAGTGTGCCTCCAGAAACATTTATGGAGGCTTTTCAAAGAGACAGCGCTATAACATACACACACACATACACTAAAAGCTGTAGGAAAACCAGAGGCAAGAAATGCGATGAGTGTATGTGTCAATCAGAAAAGTCTGGGAGGTTGGGCTGTTGGTGTCTGTGAGATGTTATTATCTATTAGCCAATGTAATCTATATGTTAAACTATACATTTAAACGCATGCTGCAGTGTATTTTATTCTTACACTCAATAGCAGTTATGTGACTAGAACTGGCTGCTTAACAACACGTCAAAGCTCAAATGCTGTTTCTGAAGTATCTGAAACAATTTTTTCTTAAAAATGAATGACCTAGAAGACATGCAGTCCTAGTCTGCTATCAGACCAGATAGACACAGATAATACTCGATATAACTAGAAAGCCTAATAGCTTGCAAGATGAGCTGGACAGAGAGAGAGTGAGAAAGATGGGGCAGGACCCTCTGGCAAGATTTCCGATACACTAACATGCCTTGACCTGAAAACAACAAAGCTAATGATATTTTAACTGAAAATGTATACAGAAGCAGCAGTCCAACGCAGCCTCCCCAAAGGATGCCAGTCGCGAGCAGAACTGACGCATTGTTTGGCGTGTGCAATGCTGAGTGAAGCGCAGGGAAGCGGCGAGTCACGAGAGGCATGCATCACGCCAAGTGAAGTGGATAAAGTACACCAATGACTGATCTACTCTACTGTGCAATATCAGGCCTCTTCACCGCCGGCGAATACACAATGACAGCACGAACGACTCTGTGTGTGTGAGTTTCATGCCAATCAAAACAAAATTGGCATGCTAATTCCAGAACTTTCTCTCATGGGAGGAAGTGAGAGAGATGGTAATTTCCTGGTCCCCGGGCCCTTTATTGGGTCACTGTCACTGACATAAAGCAGGTAAGACTATCTGAACTCATCAGGTGTATCTTGTCCTGGAGAGGAAGCTCATAAGCATTATCTCATTTGACATCATCTTTCATTAAATGCATCAGTTGTAGATATTGTCAAACAAAAGAAATAAAGAAGGGCCCAGAAAGGGGGAAATTACTGGAAAATTTCAAATTGCATTCTTTATTCAAGCTGTGGGATGTTGAACAAATGCTAAGGATCTACGTAAGGCCTAGGCAGAGCAGGAACTCTTTGCCGCCAGCATCCTGCGATTGCATCTGACAATATTTATGCACACCAACTGCAAAAAAAGTCTAAACACCAGACACTTGAATATTACCTAAATCTGGGCAGACATTAGGAACTGTTTAAACATCTCCTAAACAGACAGACGACTTTGTTTATACAGGAGAAGATGTTTCTTTTCTTTCTACTCTCTGTGAGGGAAGCATGCAGTCACGCATGAGCGGAGAATGGTTTTTTAAATTGCATATGCTTCACATGGCACTGGGAGTCGGAGAGGGGCGGAGGGGGTTTGCGTGTCTGGCCCACCGCCAGTTGACAGCTCAGCTGGATATCGTTGAACACTCCGAACCCCCCTGCCTCGCAGCGTGTCACTTTGGGATTGTTTCCGCAATAGAAAGTTTATTCAACCTCTCTCTCTCTAAAGGCACTGGACCGGCCATCCGTTCAGCTATTTAATCAGGGGACAGACAGGTTATTTTTCTGACAGGGCCGGGGCTGCTGTGCAATCCCTAATGAACAGCTTGATACAAGAGGAATTTTCTGACCGTTTCTTTAGCCTCAATTAATTCTGCTGTCCAAACAAATGAAGGCCACCACTCCTTGGACACAGCGTCTGGACACAGGGGTCACCATTTGTGTACACACAAACACAGCAGAGGTGAACCCTTTGTGCCTGTGACCTGACGTAATGTAGTACAAGTACAGGGAGTAGTGAAGTAATTGGATATTTAGGGCTTTAAAGTGTTTCACATGCATCAGATTTCACAGACTAGTTGGCGGTATGAAAAAATCAAGCATCGCACAATAACTGCAAGAGTAAGTGACCAACTATCAATGAATGAGCTGTGCGTGTGTGAAAAAGAGGGAGGTGAGGGGGTAGAGCCAAAGGAGTCTGAGGAGTATTCCCTTGATTATTGTGGCATGGCAAAGTTTACACAAGAGTCATTGTTGAGCTCTGACCTCCTGAAAAGGTTGGTTCTGCCTGCTTAGTCTGCGAGCACAGCAAAGCCCCCTGTGTGTCACATGCTTACTGGAATGCCAAGCCTGCCTACCTTTACAGCAGATTACTATGATTGACTCTGATGGCCCTCTCCTACTTCTAATTGCCCCTCTCCATACACCCCTACCCTCCCCATGAGACAGGAACAGGCAGAAGGCCAAAGTTCCCCTGACCACAGATTTATTCACACACAGGCCAGACACTGACAAACATGTATTATTAGAATGAAGCATATAAGACTCTGGTGGCTTACCTGGTCTCTCCTTGCCCGTTCCTTTGCTCTCGGCCAGTTTCTGTATTAAGCTTTCCACCGAGGTGTTCTCAATGTTTCTCACAAATTCGTTGTGGAACTACAAAATCCAGAACAAAAAAAATCACATTTACTGAGAGTTACCTTTAACTGAGAATTCGAGAGAGTTGCTGGAGAGAGCACATGGGAAAACAAGTTCAACTGCAGCAGAAACTCATCTAAAATCCACATCTGCTGCCAGATGTTTGATCAATTTAGTGCTGAATAATTTACACAGTTAATTGTTGTTGTTCATCAATTACATTCATTGCAATCAGTTAATGAAAAGGTTTATTTATTTCATTTATTGGGGACCAATTCTCTTACATAAAATTTAATGATTACCAGTACGCTGACTTGACAGAGGTGTTAAACCAAGTGGGATTAACTATATTATATTATAGTCACGGCAGAACAGCCACATTCAAACTCAAACAAAGATTGAACAACACATAGTAAATATTGTATTGTGGCTTGCCATGCTCTGAGCCCAACTACAGAGCGAGACTTCTGTGCCACTGACTATTTTCAGGCCATTGCTGCTCATTCTTTCATTGCTTGTTGGTTAGATTTAGTCGTGTGTTGCATAAAAGTACGATAAAAAAAGTTTTAAATCTATAAATACAGGCATAGACTGTATCCTGTCAGCAACATACATTATATACTGTGTTTATGGACAATTTGGAGCCACGCTAAGTGAAATTCTTTGGGCTGGAGGAGAATCACGCCATTATGTTGCTTTTTTTTAATCAAAGTTTAACAGCCATCTACTGTAGTCAGGTAAGCCAAGTATTTCTGTACACTAATATATTCATTTGATAATACATTCACTTTTTTTGGCACACAAGAATTGAATTCTCATTACTGATGAAACTGAATTTGAACATCAACATGAAGCTTATTGTTCAGTGATTTCTTTTGACTTTTACATTTTCAGTTCATTTCAAAGAACACATAGGATCCTATGTAAAACATACGATCTGTGTCACATGTTGAGTGCTTGGTGTAATTTGTTTCATGATACACATGATGGGAGACAAATGCAGTCTGCCGCTGTAAGTTCCCCCTGTAACTTGCGCTGCTGTGCCTTTAGTTGTTATTTATAACATTTTTCTTTCTAACTGGCCTGTGGAGACATACTGTACTTTACTGTCATTCTATTGTGTCAGGTTGAATCATTGTTGTTGGCACTGTGGCCTGCTGATGCCCTTTGGGCAGTATCAGAGGAAGGATAGTGTTTGTTTGCTTGTTTGTTTTGGATGTGCATGTGTGCTTGTGTGTCTACTGAGGGGGAAGTGAAAGCGATGTATAGGCATGGGGATGAAGAACAGCGGCTGACTGCCATCTCACCAAAACCATTTAGATGTGCGTGATACTGTAAGCGCAGAGTGGCTCCACTATCAAACAAACACACACGCATACACACACATATGTGTCTGCCCCCCGGGCCCCTGTGGCGAGGTGGAGTGCATTAGCCTTCTGTGCCCTGGCAGGAGAGGATGGGGGGGGGTTGTTGCGGCGAGGAAGTATGCTCAGTGCAGCACACGCGATCTGTCAGGTGCTGCTGCCACGACGGAGGTCATCAACCTGCGTGCCCTGTTCGTCTCTCTCTCACACACACGTACACAAAAACTTCGTCCCGCAGAGACTTTCGACCACATGCTCAAAAACATGCATCTGCCTTCAAGGGTTCCACACACACACACACACACACACACACACACACACACACAAATGCTCACTTACAAAAACAAACACAGCACGCAAACTAACAGACACACCTGCACTTCTGTGAGTTTAAAGGTCTCTACACAGGGAACACCACTCTGCCCTTCTTCCTACCTAATATACTGTACCTATATAAGGTATTTTCCTTTCTTTACACTGCTCACTTCCTCCCTCTCACCCGTTCACTCTAACCCTCTTATCTTTCATGCCCACTGAGCTGATACTGGCTGAGCCCCGTCTGAAAATACCTGCAAGGTTGACACGATTACTTCTTGATTTTAGTGACACCTTCGGTTCCAGGTTCCCTTTGCTTTCGTTTCATGCACTGCACTTCTCTGCTCCCTTGTCTGTGGTAGTTTAATATAACTGGGCTGACAGCAGCTCCAACACTGGACTCTATTGGGAAAACTATAAGGCAATTACAACTGATGTTGTGGCATTTCCCCCAAAAAATTCCCCTTGTAAAACAGTCAAAGTCACTACTAACTCCTCTGTTGACCTGGTGGGAGTGTAAACTGCCATGTCTCCTCTGATAAACCGTTACAAATGGAGTCCCCAGCTGTTCCTGTTCACCTTTCAGCGAGGAGCTTCACTGGGAGGATGTAACACACACCGAGATTCATGCTAACGCACCCCACATGTGCAGGCCTCTTTGCATGCACTCTGACCATCCATTAGAAGAACATTGTCCCTCGCCAGCCTCTCCCCAATGAACACGGCCAGTCGTGTTAAATGATGACCAGCTAAGTTGGAATCACCGCAGCTGTCAACTTTCTAAGATGGGGGCAATAACAGATATTTGAATGGTTAATGTCTATAGAGATAGTGATAATTTATAGTGGAATTTTCCCATTGTGGGACAAATAAAGGAATATCTATCGATATATACATGTTTTAAATCCCCTATATTTGATGTTTTATTAAGAAAAATATGTATTTCTTATGGCCTTTCTTCTCTTACTAAGAAGAGCTACTAAGAAATTGCTGATTATTATTATTATGATATTATTAACAGTTCAAAAATTCATAAACTGTGATTGTCTTAAAAGATTTCTCAATCAATTTAGCATGACCCACCTGCAACAATGTCAGACTAATGATGGACAGTTTAAAAAAATAAATAAAATGCAGCAGAAGCAGAGATATCGGATTTTCTACTCCACACATTATTCTTCCCTGTCAAAACCTGGCACCTACAGCACCCTCAATTCAAACAAATGCTAGTAGTGGCAAAATTAGTCTCATGCAGAGATGACATCACAGGAGGCAATTTATCAGATTGTACGCAGCTCCATGTGGACGCACAACTTTTTCACATGTACAGCTGTACTCAACAAAACCTGTAAACAGATTTGATGTGTGAAATTGGCGGAGTCCTCCTCTGAGTACAAATCAAGGCTGCTTGTTTTTTTTAATCCAGGATCTTACAGTAAGTCCTTACTGGAAAGAATAAAAAACAATACATATAACATGTTATATTATATATATAAATAAATCTGTTTGAACATACAGGATTATGCTTAAATTGTTCAAATAAATCATAATATTGTATTGTTAGAGTGAATATAAGTAATAATAGTTTGGTGACCTCCTTTCATAACTGTAATATACTTATTTACCTTCCGCTTATTTGCACTCATTTAGCACAAATATCATATTCAGCCACTGAAAACAACAGAGGGGGAGGTTTTGTTTACTTTTGTCTGTCTCTTGTGTGGCAAAAATAATGTTGTAATTCTTCACTCTTTTGATGAAGTAATAATCGGGGTACAGTTGAAACATTTGTGTGCCAGTTTTCACTTATTGCTTGGCTCATTAAACTGTATGGCCAGTTTCACTGAATATTCTACAACAGACCTTATGTCATTAAAATATGAATTTGGGTATAACAATATTAATGAAGAAATATCCTTTTAGACAAAATGTTTTGGAGGTTAAAAAGGTAGTACAAACATTAATAAGATGACTCCAACAACACAGTATAAGGGCTGTATGTCTTCAGCTTCTCCACTCACAAGATTTGGTATTTTAAATGCAAGTATGTGCAAATGAATTATTTTGTCTGTGTGTCAGTTTGCTTGTCAGCATGAATGCCTGTGGGCTCAATGGCTAAGCACAATGTTACAGAGTTGAAACTAGTCCCAGCCTCCTTTGCCCTCCCCCTCCCTCCCTCTCGCCTCACCCTTATGTGAGAATAATATTCCCAAGGTACCCCATAACCTGGTTTGAAGAGTGTTTTATCACCAAATCACTATGTCTTAGACTGCTAGAAGTTACTGAGCACCTGTCTTCAGGCAGTATTTTAATTTGGCTCAGCAACAGGCAGCGGCGCTGCCCATCTCCTGCTCGGAAGCAGGAACTGTGAGGCTGAATAACCTGCGGTAGCCTGTCGCTCCACATTCTTTCCAACTTGCCGCACGAGCTGTGAGCTGGACTCAGATACTGTTGGTGGAGCTGTGTTGCCCTCTATGGACAATAAGAGAACTACAGCAGCAGCAGCAGCAGCAGCAGCAGCACAGAGCAGCTTCAGATTAATGAGAGCAGAGCAGCAGATTGTAGTTCGCCTTGAGTTATTCTGTGTGGCACTGGTAAGTATGATTGCTGAATAAATAAATCTCTGGTTGACGTTAAATACTGATTAATATGGTTCTAAATGATGTTTGAAAGCCTTGACAATTGGACTTGATCGAACCTGATGCAGCTTTCTCAAACCTAAACACACTCTTCCAGAGACAAACAGGCCTGTGCAGCACTTTTAACTATCAGACACAGTATTTGGCAAGTGTTTGGACTTCTGGAGGTGTTTTAGATAGGCTGAGAGGGAGTTTTGATCAGTTTTTAATTGCTTGGCATAAAAGGCTGAATGGACCATTTCCTGGTTCTCAGTTAAACGATTAGCGAGATCAAAGACGACACTAATTGATATGACACACAGTGAACCCAATGAGCACAGCCTCAGGTCAACAAGACACCTACTCCACCCACAGGAATGTTTGAGAGTATGTATGTGTGTACACACTCACCTCTCCTATTTGGATGTGCGTTTCGTCGACAGACTGCGAGTATGACTGAATGATCTCCTTCATGTGGAGAATGTGGTTTTCTTCAATGTCTTGGAATTTCTGGAACACAGGTCGAGGGATAGTTACGGCACGGCGATGCTACAAATCATCTAGTCGCTTTAATGTGCATCATGGTGTCAGACTCGTTAAACAGGCCTGAAAACAAAAATAAGTTAAGGACAAAATGCAGCCCACGAAACGTCCCTTATTCTGCCCCTGCCACTTCCTGTGTGTCTGTTTGGGTGGTCTCTGGCTTTCACACACACACACACACACACACACACACACACACACACACACATACACATACAGTATATATAGCTCCTCCCATAAGATGTCAATTATTCTGTTCATAAGATACACTGACGGGAGTTCGTTTTTGGGTTTAAGCAGTAGTATGGTGTACATCACAACCTTAAATGCTAGTATTTACTTCCATTTGAGTCTGACTCTGGGCTTCTGGGGTTAACCAAGGAGAATGAGTATAAATAATCATAAACTGGAAAATCACAGTGTGAGTGGAGAAATAGATGAGCCTTTCCAACCACAAACACACAGATGAAGAGCCACTTACTCTTACATCTACACAACAGAGACACGCACATAAATAAAACTGCACTTTTGTCATTTCACCACGATAACAGCTAGCATACGCTCACACACAGACACACCCACCCACATACACACACTCAGACAAAGAGAACACACATGTAGGAGCCCCAGTGATGTCAGAGAGCACATGTGTTCAGTGTTTATAACTCATGTCCACATGTGCTGCGTTTGAGATGAGCCGTAGACTGTGATCCCGGGGAAGCAGAGCTGCAACGCCGCTTTCTCTAGGGGGAGAACAAAACAAAAAAAAAAGCGCTACGCTAACTGGAACCATTTCTGGTGGCGGAGCTGCTGCGGTGCAGGAGGATATGGAGGCCAAATTCTGTTGATCTGATTTTAATTTGGAGTTTATCTAATCAGTCCTTCAGATGGATCCAATCAGGGCTTTCCACAGCGATTCCGTTACAGAGGAAAAAACACAATCTGGAGATGATACAGGGCACGAAACGTGGAACACACACACACACACACACACACACACACAGAGGGCTGATAGATTACACAACGAAAGTGTTGCATACCACAGAGACAGACAATAGACAGAGTTTGCGAGCACATTATTTCATTAAAGCACACGCACACAGAACTGGCAAAATCAGTTCATGACAATACCTGTGCAGTTTCTGCCATCTTCTGTTCAAACTCTGACTTAGCTGTGGCATATTTCTCCACATATGACTTGTAGGTCTCTGTGGCTTTTTTGGCTTTCACTCCAGCCTGCAAAATATAAACAGACAGATAAATGGCTATCATCAGTTTATATACAATACACAATGGGCCTCTGTTTCCCAAGATCAACTGAAGAATCAGCGAGGAAACCGAGCCCTGCTTAACATCTGAAGGCAAGAAGCTTTTGGGGTTAAAGTTTCTGTATAGAGTGGAGTGTTAAGGCACTTCATCATGCCTTATTACCATACCATGATTATGTGGGTGTGTGTATGTGCAAATGTGACCTCCCACCTTGTCCACATCTCTCTGGGTGGCCCCCTCTTTGCGGAGGCGCTCCTGCTCCACAGTTTTGGCATTATAGATCTCCTTGGACTTCTGCAGAGCCTGAGAGGTGGTCTGGATGTTCTGTACGGCCTCCAGGGTGGACGCCACCTCCTCTTTTGTCTAGCAACACACAAATGTTTTGTACAGTAACTCAGAGAACAACACGCTGAACAAGAAGTGCAAGTCTCACCATTGCTCTGCTAACTAGGGAGTTAATTCTTGTATAGTTTGACGTCAACATAATACACAGTCAACACTTGTCCTGGAATTCCTTTGTTTATATGACACAATTTCAGCGTAGACAGAGGTCCTTTATTGCTCTAGTTAAACACTATTACAGTTCCTCTGTTTCATTCTCCAGCATGTGATGTTGCACAGTGCAGCGGGAAGCAGTTAAAGCCATATAGACGCTATTAATAAATGTATAATACTCTGCATTTGTTCCATCTGTACAGTGTAGCTCTTAACACTGACTTACTGGAAAGACGTAAAAAGAAAAATATAATCAAGGGGTAATGACTTTAAATTACAGTGGCCACACAATGAGCTTCATCGTTTGTTTTATTCATCATCATCAACACTGAACCCTCTACACTGCTCATTTTGACACAGTTATGGTATAATATAAACATCACTGGAGGGAGCAAAAGAAAACAACACTAGCAAAGTCCTACATTACGTACAAATTTTGAGCACCTACTCCAAGATGGGTGTTTATTTTTCTTTATTCACACTGCCTAACTACAGTATGTACCATTATCTGCAAGTTAGCCAAGAAACACAGTGCAGGGAGGAACAGGGAGTGTAGGGAAGTGACTGAGAGAAACTGTGACAACCTTTTTGTCGTGCTGAAAGCACAAACGCAGTTCCACCAATTCCAAGCTCCTATTTTACACTGTTCTGTGGCTTCATGCATGAGTTATGAGCTGATGGTGTGTTTCAGAAGGGAGGAGAGATGGAGGGGTGAGGTGTAAAAAAAAACGCTTCGTAGAATAACACACTGCACGCTACGTTTTCTTCTTCTTTTACTCTAGGGACGATGAGTAGAGCGTTAAAAATCTACGGAAAACAAAGAGGTGAGAATAGATCTATGTTTAAAATCCCCCTCTTTTGTTTTCTTCTTCCTATAGTTGGATTTTTGAGTTTCACTGTGAGAATGATGTACGTGCAGAGTTTGTCACTATTAGATGTTTTCACATTCATCTGCTGTAAGTGGAAAGTTTCTCTGTTCTCATTGAAAATCTGATTTTAAGGGCCGGGCCTACGGACATTTCTGACATCACAAATAGTTTGGAAGTCAAACCTGGTCCAATTTGCAACTTATACAAGTGTGATGTAGAAACCTGAAGCCGACAGTGCACATAAACAGAGAACGGATTTTACAGTGTAAGACATCTTGTGTCCATCAGAAAAACTTAATAAATGATCACAATTTCTGGAATCCTTTTTTTCTTTTTTGCAGGAAAAACATATCACATACATGTTATTGTTCTAAGCAAACTATTATTATATATGTCTTACTACATGGAGGGGATTTTTAAACAGTTCATTTCCCTCAATGAAGAAAACACTGGAGCAGCAAACTCAAGAAAAATAGTTGAAGGGAAGGAGTGACAGAGACTTGTGAGGACTCTTTTGGGTATCAGAGTATCTTTTCTTTGGTACTGACCCACACATGTTTTCCACACCGTGGAGTATTACAAATTGGCAAATACCAAAGCCTGGTATGAATTTTTGCTCAAATTTGTTTTCTTCTTTACTTTTTCACTGAGACAGTTTCTGATTTAAATATTGTACTTTGACTATGTGTTTTTGTACAGCGGCTTGTGTTGAGACAACATTGAAGATTTCAGAACTTGAGGTACCGATAATAAATGTGCTGGTACTGGTACTGGTACCGAAACTTGATAATAAAAAAAATCAAATGTACTGAGCCCTAACTGCCTGAATGCTACAATTTCCCCCAATTTTCCACCTCTTTACCTTTTTGTGTGCTTTGGCCTGCTCTTCCACATACTTCTGAACCTCTTTTATAAGTTCCTGTAGTTTCCTCACAAGCTCCATATGACAGCTGGCCAGCTTCTCTGTTGAGGTCTTGAACACATCCCACACTGGAGCAAAAGTCCTGGGAGGAAAAATGACACTTCAGAACTAGAACATGGCAAAACCTTCTTACATTTGTTTTTTGTTTTTTTTCAATGCACATTATTTAATATGAACACTTGGGTCCATCATGTAGATGGGCCGGATTTAAAGCATACAGGCACATTTCTTCTGCAGTCTCTTCATTAATTCAAATTAGTTTTTACTAGAAAAGAAAAAACTAGAAAGCTGTTTACACTCACCCAAGCTGAGAAAAGTTGCCAGCTGATTTGGCAAGTTTGGTCATGGATCTGGCATAGGCCTCTTCAATAGTACTCCTGGGACAGAGTAAAAATACATAGAGATTGTTAAATCATTATAAATGATCCCGAACAACAGCTCGATTAACCCAAAGTTAACCTTTAAAAACCCCTTTAATGTATAGTACCACAAAGTTTTTCCAAAGTATTTGCAACTAGGTTATGGCTCAAATAGGGCATGTCACTAAACAAGTGTAGCCAGAAACACCCACTTAGAACTTGCAACATAAATGTTTGACCACATGCACTGTGTGTGGGCAAATAAGTGTGGCTTGGCTTGTGATTTGTTCATAAACCTCATGTTGAAGCTGACAGAGTATGAAATCTAGTGTTTGAATTCCCTGCTTCTCTCAATTTCCTATTTTATTCCTTCATTCTGCAGCACAGTGACAGGAGTAGAAAAAAAACAACAAAAGAAGTACAGCAGTGGTATAGTGAAAGCCTGAATTATGCATCTCTCTCTCTCTCCCTCTCTCTCTCTCTCTCTCTCTCTAGTTTCTTCACAGGAATGAGGTCAGCCAGGGGGAAACGGGACAGACGTGCACTCACACGGACACACACATCTATCATAAACACACACAGACACAAACATCCAATGGAGGACCAAGCAAATTCCCACGCAGCCCAACAACACAGAAGATGGGAGAAGCTAGAAATGCATTATAGGTCACACTCCTGCTTCCACATCTTCGTGTGAGTGCAGAATGGCGGGTTATTTTTATACTTTATCGTGTTGTAAATACTGCTGAAGTCCCAAGAGTAACGTCGGCCAACTTCTAAACCGGAACTTACAAAAGTAGATGTTTAAACTGTGTTGTGCTTTGCAGAAGACCTAACATGTGAAGTGCTTATCAAATCTGATGTTTTGTTAGAAATTAAACTACACATCAGTTTATACAAGTACAGCTTAAATGATTAGTCGATTAATCAATTAGCTGAGTGACAGTAAATTAATTGATAACCTAATTTTTCATGTAAAAAATATTTTTCAAGGCTCTAAATTCTCAAAAGATTAAAAATTGCTGCTTTTCCTTTAAATTATTTTTAAAATTTCAATTAATTAATCCATATTGAAAACAGAGCAGAGAATTGCAACAAAGCAACAACAAGAAATGTTGTGTGCCTCTTGGAAATTACTAATATCTATTTAGCTTAAAAATGCTTTTAGGAGAAGGGTCCCTGATCAAGTGACTACAGTAGCAAAGATGCTGGGAATATATTAACACAGTGCACAAAGTTTCTTTCTCCACTAGAGGGAGCCATAGTGCAGTTTTTCAGAAGTAAGAACTCATGAAATATTACTCCTGTCTTACAACTGAAAAGCTCAAGCCAACCTAGAAACCCCTAAGAAGTATAAGCAAATATGGTATGACACAATAAATTAATCTCTACCTGAACTTCTTTCTCTTTCATGAATGATGTATTGATTCATTTGTAATGTATTTACAACATCCCTGCAGAGTGCAAGCTAAAGGATGATTTATTACAACTAATTTAATGTGAACAGTTTAAACAGTGACATTACATTGGCAATCATAAGCCAAACCTCTTCCCCCAAAAGAATAACTGTAGATGTGTGTGATGGTAAATTACTGCATTTTATTACAAAAGTAAAACTTAACCACTAACAAAATGAAAATACGATGATTTTCCTAAGCATTGTGCCATCATTTTAATGTAAAATAACCTTAACGTTGTCAGAATTTAGTATTAATAAGACTTTCCAAATATCTTTCAATAAACACAGTCGATCAAGCATTTCACACCCAACTTCGGGTGTTATATTAAAGTGTCTGAGTGACTGAGTGTACTCCTCAAAGCCAGCTAGACAGTGGAATCCACTGTTGAATTCCTGTGGTAAACCATCTATCATGTGACAGGTTATAAACATACACCTGACACAGCGCAGCTAATCTTTATGAAGGTTGGAAGAATTTGAAAAGAAGCTATTATTATGGCATTATTACACTGCAGACACTGAAGGTGTGTAACATAATGCCAGGTTACTGGTGAGTTAAGGTTTAAGCTTTTTTTCACAAAGGGATTAAGTTTGCATAACATTCATACTCATCTACATCTACCTTCATCTACTGACTACATTTACTGGTTAATGTTCCTGGTCAATGTGAAGAGAGATTCATCTTGATGTTAGAATTAGTTAAACAATTAGGCAGAAATAATCAGCAACTAGGTTTGATAATCAATTAAGCATGAGCATTTTTAAGCAATGGCAGTGCAAAAATGCTACACATTCTGTACTTATAGCTTCTCTAAAGTGATTTTCTTCTGACTTCTGGATTCTGAGAAGTTGTGGTGGGCATTTATTCACTATTTTCTGACATTTCATAGACCATTAATGGACATTAATTGACAATGAAAAAAATAAAATTTGTTGCAGCCCTTGTTAAAACAAACCCAAATGGTTTGAGAGGTAAATCTGTAGCAATCAGTGGATTTTATTTGCAGCCTCAGCTAAGCATTTGGGTGTTGTTATAAGTACAATACAAGGAAATGGAACTGCATGAGCCGAATAGATTAAGATACAAAGACAACCAGAAGACAGGTACTGAAGAGCCAGACACATTATACTAGGTTAATAACTACTGTGCTATCATAGTGAATATCTTTCAGTTTTGGACTTTTGGTGAGACAAAACAAGACATTAAAATATGTCACCTTGGATTGTGAGAATTTGTACAGTTGCAGCCCTAGTTAGAAAAATGTGATCTGAGATGTACAGCCATAGCAATGAGGCAAATTCAGAGTGGATTTTAGTTGAGGCCTCAGCTAAGCATTTGGGTGTTGTTACAAGCACAATACAAGGAACCGGAACAGCAGGAGCCGACATGGAAATAGATTCAGATACCAAGAAAACCAGAAGACAGGTAGGACATGTATTAAAGAGCTAGACACATTATACCAGCTAATGACTAATGTGCTGCATGTTAATGTGCATCAGACCTACCTTTCTCTGATGAAGTCTGTCAGCTCCTTGGAGGAAATTTGGCCATGCTTCATGTTATGGTAGAGCACATCAAAGCCATTATTTTTTTCACCCTGCATTTCAGAGAGAAGTAGATTAATCACAGGAACAAACACCAAGTCTAACAAATAACCACAATACCAGAGTTATTAAACGGACATTACCGTGAAGGCTTTTTCTATAAGCAGCATTCTCACTGTCTGCATAGCTTCCAGGTGCATTTGCAGCAGCCTCTGGTCAACCATACTCATCTTCGCCATGTTTTAGACTAACGGATGTTAAAAAATGTTTAAAAATGTGCTACACTGGTCTAAGGTTCGAGCGTTTAATGTAAGAGATAGCCGGACAAGCGCCTGTCTGTGTTTCCGTAACCATGCCACTGGGTAACGGTGTTCAGTTGCACTGATGCTTTAAAAATGCAAATGTACCTCTGAATAATTAATATGATGAAAAATGTTGGGTATATATTTGGAACATGTTGGATAATAATAAATGACCATACCCTTGTAGTACAGATAGAGCAACACCAAACTACTACTACTACTACTACTATTACTACTACTACTAATAATAATGATTTTTGTGCCACTTATTCAAATACTCATTTACATACAAAATAAACAAGACAATGAATAAAACATGGGAAGTTACAGCAAGCAAAACAATCACAATGAATTCCAAGAATATAACAATAAATAAAAAAAACTGCCTTACTCTATCACACACTACTTCCTGTATTAGAGCTTCAGAGAGAGTCATGCAATATTAGCTTATTGCAGATACTGGTATCTATGTATTGGACGATCAATAAGTAACAAGAAACAGCCGAACAGAAATGTCCAACTGGGTTTGAAGTAATTTTAGAAACAGTGTTACATAGTTTGCCCACCAGAAAGCGCTTCACAGTGGGTATTTTTAACTGTAAAATATCCTTCTCAATATAAATTAGAGTTAAAGGTCCAGTTGACAACATTGAGTGAGGATCTACTGGCAGAAATTGAATAGAATATTCACAGGTATGTTTTTATTAGTGTTTAATCACATGGAAATCGTTGTGTTTTCAATTCCTTAACTGTTATTTTCTACAGAGGCTGCAATGTTTCTACAGTAGCCCAGAACAGACAAACCAAACACTGGCTCTAGATAGGGCTTTTTGTGTTTTTTCACAGCCACTGTAGTGTTTCCTACATGCTTGGAAGGCTGAGCTGTGCTCAGTGGTTGCAATCTGCAACCTTATATAAGTTATAGAAATCTGCAACTCCATAGAAAAAAACAAAACAGCAAAACAAAACAAATCTAAGGGATCCATATATAGATTTTATTGCATTATGTGTTTATTTTGTTTTATTACTATCGGCTGTAATATATACTGTAATGACATTTTTTAAAACTCCCTAAGTATCGACCTCAAATATCCAGTATCAGCTATATCCTATGTAATAAGAGACTCTCTGATATCGAATGGTAGGACTGATAAGAACGTTGGCCGCTGTAGACTGTCGGCAGCATAATCAATCAATCAACCAACCAGACACCTGCAGAATCAGATAATAAACTTCATTATGAACTTTACTATTGGATAGACCTCAGGTTACTGGTTGACTTTTATAGTGCTGGGTTTGTATTCAAGATAAGACTGAGAAAAATTACTATTTATTGTCCTCTGTCTAGAATAACAGTACAGTTAATAGGTCAGGCTTGTTGGTCATCTGAGCAACACTAGGTTTTGCGGTAATAAATGGACTGCACTCTACAATTTATTTAAACACATTATTCTTGACACACCTTCAATGCAAAGCCTTCTTGTCACTTCTTAGAAGAGAAGAAGAAGGATCACTTTACTTCCTCATCGCCCTCCTTGAGGCTGTTTCTTCAGTGAGGGAGGAAACATACAAATCATAGCTTAAAGCTAAGGAAATGCCCTTTTTAAAAAAAACACAGATTATCTGAGAGAACAGATAGGCCATAGACAGCAGCTACTGTCCGACAGATTACAATAACAGCCACTGAATGAATGCTTTAATTGTGAAAGCTTGTGACAGCTTGTTAGGAAAATGGCAAATCATCATAGATTCTGCTACTCAGCATCTAGTCACATTGAGACAAATAAGGAAACTCATAACTTTCACTCAAACATAGGCTGAAGTCAATAGGATAACACGTCTGTGCACCGCTGTTCTTCTTCATTCTTGTCTAAATCTGCGGGCCAACTTTGTTTCACCTCAAAGACTGTCACAGATATTTCCTGGTTCCTGGAGCCATCCACTGTCAGCAGTTTGGTACATGGACTACAACATCAGTGCAGCTTCGACAAATGGATTTAGCCACATTGACAAAGATGAAAGGTCAGGAAATTTGTGTCAAAATAAAGCACGGAGTTTGCTCCAATCTGACTATATTTACAGAGCAAACAGACATTAAAAGGAAAGCATCATTCTCTAGGCTACAGCTGACTGGCCTACATTCTACCCTGGGGAACAGACCACTGAGATGTGCTTCCTGTTGAAACAAGAGAACTATAAAACAGTACAGGTTTAGTAGCAGTTAACCTGCCTGCGGCGCACAGCATGACATGCAAATACACGAGACAGGGACCATAGCGCTAACCTTACGTAACACTACACTGCAGAAACTTATAAGAAACACAAAGTGAGGGACGCGTTGACAAAACAGGGAAGTGACAAAAGTGAGCGAAAACACACTCCAACCAGAGCAGAACGGCAACAGGAAGAGAGTCCATTCTGTGCAACTACTGGGCTCATGTGGAATGAGATATCAATGAATACAAGTAAAATAAAAACAAACACAGGAAACAGCTTTTCAGCAGATTACAATAGTGGAATTGATTTGGAGAAAAAAAATCATCTTAAACAAAGCCAACAATATAAGGACTTGACCTTCAAACAAACCTGAAGTTAAAATGTCTCATCAGTCCACTAGCTAGTGTAGGACTGTACAACTACATCTACAAGAGCAGCGAGAAGTGATACCAGAGTGCTGCTCAGTTTCTCAATGTCCAAGTCTGGACACTCATTGATGAAAGCTCTCGTACTGGGTGTTTAATATTCCACCCACACATTGTGAAATTCAGAAGTACTCTTTATGCTCGGATTTAGATGCAGAAGTTCTTGACTCTCTGCCCCACCCCGAACGGAGGAAAACATACTGAGAGGTTAGCGCACACACGTCAATCACGGTTGGTTTGAGCAATAGCACAGTTTGCAGCTGAGACAGCTTCCAACAGACGGATCTAGTTCATGAAAGAGGAAGAGTGAACTATGTCAGCTGTCCAATATTCAGCGTGTGCCAGTATTTATCAGGGACAGAAACAGATCTCCACATGAAGTTATATCTTGAATGACGCACTGCACTATGTCTGCGCTGCACAGACGACTAGGGGGACCCAGCGTCTTTGTATGCTTTAGGCGGACAAAAAGAAATGTAGGTAATAGTCCGGCAAGTAGACAGCTTACGTCATGGCTGAATGTGCACTAATGCTTCTGCTGGGAAGAGTACTTCCACTCATGAGCACGGAGAAGGCAAGCTCCGATGGAAAAAGCAGCAACCTCACTTACTATGTAATGCACGATTTAATATACAGCAATAGACTATAAAGGTTTTAAAGTGGTGTTTACACTAAAACCAGTCCTTTCTGTTCCTGGAAAAAAAAGCTATTATGAAACGACTCAGGTCCTTGAACACTTTCTGAGAACTGCAGAGTTCGTGAAACCAACTGAAGTTATAATTATTATGTCATTATTACAACAAGAGCTTAACATTAGTGAAATAGCTTTGCCTCTTGATTCTGCCACCTGTTTCCTGAGTGAACTCTCTCATTTGTCATCATCCCTGTTGAACATGTCAAGATAGTAATTTTGGTTTGACTACTGGAGAGTGCATAGAAAATTGAATCCAAACCTACAGTTGGCTGTATGGTGTCGGATACAGTTACAGATACAGATAAATTCAGAGAACTGTATCACTCAACTGTAAATCAGAACACACACTTACACTATAACACACTACTAAAAATACCAAACATCCCCTTGTTCTAGCCTCTCAAATATGTAGATATGCACCTTTTCTTTATCTTATGTGATATTAAACATTAGTATTTTTCTCTTTTGGACTGCTGGTGGCACAAAACAAGCAATTTGAAAAGACCAGCTTGGGCTATAGGAAAATATATGGGTATTATTCACTGTTTCCTGATATATTAAGAACCAAACGATTAATTGACAATGAAAATAATCATATGTTGCAGCGCTTTTTGTAATGTTAATGTTTTGTGTTTCAATAAGAATGAATAAATACATAAATATTAAACAAAACCATAATTACAATATTAAAATAATCAAAATCCCAAAGGACACTCTCTCATAATAAGATTATGCTATATTGATATACACTCATCAGCATACAGACTCCTAAATTAATAAGATATTTTAATGATCTAAGTGTGAGATGCAGGCAGTTTTGTCTCTGTTCAAGTATACAATGAAGCCGTGACCTGGAAAGACACCACAGACTTTCTACATTGTATTGTGTTTTCACACACAACAGTAACATCAGTGTAATTTAGATTTAGTAAAATCCACGTGCAAAAAAAAAACTGTCAGATGGCTGAAATCCTTAATCTGAAATACCACCTTTAAGATAAACAGAACCACAGGGCTGCAGTTTATCACGTAACATCTGCCGTGCAGAAGAGGAGTGTAACACCAGTTTCAATATCCTGTGTATAGGGAATCAAGTGTTTATTGTCTGACAGGCAGTAATGCAACCCAGGACATGGAAAAAGCAGGTTATGGTTATCTCTCAATATTATACTGCCCTCTTCTTCAAACAATAAAAGATAACAAAGATGAGCTAAGCTCTCAAAACGTCCACTAATTTCAATATGCCCCTCACAAAGTCTTCAAATGGCTTGTTTACTACGCAGGCTGCAAAGTGGAACTACTTTGAAAACAAACCTATTTCTCTTAACTTATAAGCAGAACTAACAAACTTTCTAGAGTAATGGCTGTATATAGTGTGCGTAGGCATCACATAAGGGTGCAAAATATATCATAGGTAGCCTAAGTGTGCTGTAGGAAGTCTTTTCCACTAGCAACTCAGTAAACAGGAGAAAATCAGGTGGAATTAAAAGCGTCCTGGCTGACATGACTCCTTTTTAGGTTCTGAGTGTATGTTCAGGTAGAAGCAGGGGAAGAAGTGCGACTGCACACTTTCACTGAGGAATTTAGGAATAGCTAAACAAGAGTCGCTCTCTCCAGACAGACTGTAAACGATGGCCTGCAGACCCCAGAGCCATGAGCACAGAGCGGGTAGACAGCAGGATGACATCAGAGTGTCTGTGCCCCCAGTCATGTGACCAGAGAGGTCTGGGAGCGGTGCACTGAGCTGTCGCATCAGACCAACAGCAACACATGCAGCATATTGTAGTATGCGCTAAGCACACACAGGTGGAGCTTTGTTTGTGGTGCAAACATAAATGTAGAAGAGCTTGACCACAACTTACGGTTAGGGATGTGACATGACGTATATGGCTTTAGGATAAAATCACACAACAAATTAGTTAATCACAAATTACGACCCAGTCAGACACCTCTAAACCCAGTTTACATGTAGGAGTTTATGAGACCTGGACAACAACCAGTAAAAGCAAAAGACAACAACCACCATGAGGCGGGACTTCTGTTTCAAGCAAAACCAAAAGTCAATGTTGACCAAAACCTTTTCACCCTGGGGGAACGTTACAGAAAATTGATTCTTTCTCATGGCTCTTTGCTGTAACCTCACAAAAGACAGAAAGCGGTATGTTAGCTTGCGTTTGTGTATTTGAAGCTCAGTTGGGGAAAAGGTGCCAGCTGAAAAGGAAATGTGTAATCATTGTCCATCTCTTCTCTTGCTTCAGTCTTCGCTGCATTATTGCGACACTTCAGTTGTCTGACAGTAACTTGTGGGAGTGTGAAACTTGCACACAGTGAGTTGTGTGAGAACCTCTTAGACCACACACACACACACACACACACACACACACACACACACACACACACACACACACACACACATACATAACACAGACACCAGGGAGAAGGCGGCCATCCTGGGGCTGTTGGCTGTATCAACATTGTTTGTTTATCACACTGCCATCTTATTTTCCCATGATATGCTGGAGGATAACAGACTCCACATTAAACATATGCTTATCATAAATATAGGGCTAAAACTAGAGCATTAGGAGCACTACCTGCTGCCTTTGTTAACCTGACATACTAATCCACTGCCTGAGACATTTCACCACGTGTGGGGGCAATCACCCGTTCAAACTGTCAACAACAGGTCACAGTGAACTAACTTACTCGTGCAAAAAAAGAAAAAGGGAAATGCCTTTATGAGACGTGTAAATAAATCTAGCGAGGGGAAATGTTGCGGGTAGTGACCAATCAAGTGCTGCAGCTTTGACAGAGAAAACAACATGGCGGTAACATGTCTGGCTCCTAATTCCTAAAGAACTTGTTTATTCAGCTGAGGGGAGATTTTGTCTGCATCAGAGATTCAAGCCAAGATTACATACAAGGAAAAGAATGAACAAAAATGTCTCTACAAAGACTACTGAGTGAAAGCGCACAGGATGGAGACAGGTGTATACCCCTGCGTGCTGGGCAAAAGTTTCCAGACAGCCTAATGTGTGTCCGTGTGTGTGTCTGTGTGTGTGTATGAGTGTGTGTGTGTGTGTGTCAGCCTGTGGTGATGATTTGTAGTCAAGTCAAAGGGAAATGGATGCGTCTCCTAATGCCAAGTGTGCGTGCGTGTGTGTCCTGCATGTTAAACACACAGCTGATCTTTGCCATCACTGGATTCTCTTGTGGCCCCACTGCAGGGCACAAAGGGCAGATTGAAGTATCAGGAGTGACTCTGCTCTCCTCTTTTCCATTCAGTTAATGATGAAGTCTCCTTTAGGAAAAGGTTTTAAGGGGGCGACAGTACTGTACTTTCTTCATTACTTCATTAATTTCGAACCTGTAACTAATTTAACTAAGTTCATTTGACCAGCTTTGTCAGAAGAGGATTCCCAATAGCCTTCAACACCTGGGGCTGAGGTCAACTGAGGCTAAAAACGAGAGCTGAAGAAGCAGTTGACAAATACACAGAAATACCACCACAGCGTACAAACCAGACGTGCACTGTGTGTACTTCTGTTTTAGCATATCAGCACTAAAGCCATGCTGTATAAAAGACGTATGTTTTGGCAATATAAGCTGTTATTTAAGTGCTAAATTTCCAAGAACTGTGAGCTGATCACTGAAAAACAACAGATCAAAGCAATAACACATTTATTAGCACATATACTCACATATTCAGTCAGCCCATTTACCTATTGCTATTCTCAACCCCCCCCCTTCCCTCTGACCCACTGGAGACACCACAGCAGTGAAAAACAGCTCAGATGAGTCAACAGAAGACCATTAAACACTTGGTACAGTGGTAATAGTGAACTACATAGCCTTAGCTTAGCTACTGTAGCTGTGGCCTGAGTCCGTTTTAATAACACTATCTTTATGGCTTTAGAGTTATGCAAAAAAAAAATAAATAAATAAATAAAAGATATAAAAAAAAAAAAACACAGACAGACTGGTGACGTACAAATTGAGGGTGATGTTAATATCAGTACCGAAAACTTTTACTTTCCAACCTGCTGTACCCACAGCCACGTCAAATCGGAAGAGAAATGACCTTTCGGCAGTATACAGACAGCAGTGAACGCACAGTCACTGTAATCCACGCATTACAGCACCGGCTACATACACATATCAGCTAAATGTCCAACACTGCATGGGGCTGATTTCGTGTTTTTTTTAAAAGCTGTTCTCTAACTTACTAAACATCTGGCCTCTCACTGAAACTTTGTGACGGAAGAAAATGACGCGTACGGCCGAGGACGTTGAGTGACAGCCGGCGCGTCCAATGGCATTAATGGAACTGACCATAAACATTCCAAGCAAGCCTGAGAGGGCCAATTAGCGGGAGCAGGGGTGGATTCTTTGGGGTTTCATGTTAGATGGGTTTCACAGAGGCCCTAAACCCCCGGGGTGGCAAAATAATAATCGCCGAGGAAAATTAACGGTGGCCGGTGGGCTGCTGCTTGACCGGTCGGTCTGGCGGCACCGGACACCGCCGCTCCAGCGACAGCAAGCCTATGAACCAGACGACTACCTCTGCAACGTGAATAATACTTGATTTACTGGCTGACATGGACATGATAGGGAGGGAACACAGCAAGAGAATAATAAGGAATAGCACCGGTGTAAACACCGTGAATAAAAAAAGCACCACCTACCCAGAAATTCTCTAGGAAGAAGGGCGTTATCATCTTGTTTTATTCCTCTTCGCCGCAACTCTTAAGATTTGTTGTAAGGCAACTTTTAAAGCGTAAATCATCCACCGTCCTCCCCCCGTTTCTGTTGTATCTGCCTTTCCCCGTTTTCCTCCCCTTTCTTCTCCCTCCCCACCTTCAGACTCCACCTCCACTCGGCTGAGTCTGAGGTTTCTTCCCGTAGAAATGTAGGCTTTCGGTGGACGAAACAGCGCTACCAATGGCGGATAATATCAGCAGAGTTAACGTCGCGCCGTCGCTGGGTAAAATGCTGCCTTCACGTGCTCCACGTAAACTCCTACACTCATGTAGACTGATAACGTTGCAGCGGCCAGATTGAGGAGGATAAACTGGGAATCAGGCGAGAAAATCACATTTAGATTTATTGAAAACAAAAAAATTAATGAACATACGCCATACCACAGCAATATACACAACACCAATACAAGTGAAAACAAATGTTATTATATTCCAAACCAGCTGTGAACACAACTTTGGAAACTCCACTCACTAAGCATTTTCTTTTATGCAGGGGCCCATTACAGTAATATGTAGGCTTACAACTTTTGTCCACCATGTCTATTGAATTGTTAGTTTTACTGAGAGGCATCTGGTACATTAAGGCAACATAGATTCCCCAAGTATTGTTCCAGTTAAGTCAAACATGAATGAATCCCCAGGCACTTGTAGCTTCATGCATGTGAAATAATTTAAGTACAGTAAATTCTGGTATGCATAAAACTCCAATTGATGTAAAGAAATACAATAAGAGGGGAAAAGTAATTTTAAAGATCCCCTCCAGACATGAATTAAAACTGAAATCATTTAAATAAGAATAAAATAAAAGGCATCTACTCTTTCTACCTCATTAAACATCTATGGATGTTCTAATTGTGTGCATTTCTAAAGTTTTTAAAAGGACACAAGATGTCTCCTTCACTGTAAAGTCCATTCTCAGTGTATGTTCACTGGTGGTTTCACGTTTCTATATCACACTTGTATAAGCTGCTAATTAGACTGTGATGGACTTTGGAACTATTTGTAATGTCACAAATCATGCTTGGAGGCCCACCCCTTGAAATCAGATTTTCAATGAGCTCTCAGAGAAACTTAAAGCAGATCAATGCGGAAAAAAACCCCTCCTAGTGTCAAACTCTGTATACATCATTCTGTAGAGTGAAGCCCAAAGACCCAACAGTAGGAACAAGAAGAAATAAAACAATTTTTTCAAATACATCTACATTTATCCTGCTTTTCCTAAAAATATTTGATGTGTGGAGGGGATTATTGTTGTTTGAAGTTACAGTATGTCACTGCACTGGAACATTTTATTATAATCACACAGTGCATTCACATTGTGAAAAGTGTATGCAAAGGCAACACTAAAATCGAATGCTGGAATCTGAGGCTCAGCCACTGTCCGAACAAATAAAAGATAGAAGAGGCCTCAGAGACAGCAGTTACCACGAACACTTTTCCTTACGTCAATAGTGTGCAGCTGTAGCAGGACAACATGCTCTACAGAATTTGAGAAAAAGACAAGACAAAGGCCCGTAATAATGTAAACAATTTATTGGAACAATGTACAGATTCAAGCAATGGTAACCAGTCACATCCACTATATCATCTTACAAATATTACAAAATTACTACAGTACAATATAGATTCTTTGCATGATCCAAAATATTTGGTGGCCCCAAAAGTATTACTTTTTTAAAATTCAGCAGCTTATTTAAAAAAAAAAAAAAAAAAATCAAACCATGTCTATCAAAATGATGTTTTTGCTTTTACTAGCAAAAAAGATGAAGGCAAATAGTCTAATCAAGTTTGAAGGCTAAATGAGAATACAGGAGTTCTTTGACTAGACATTCCTTAATATTGGTGGGTGCTTTATAAAATACAAATTTTCAATAAAGCTTCTTAGAAAGTCAAACATTATATTTGTAACAATATGTTTATAAGTTTTCAACCCATTTCTTTGCTTTTAAATTAGGTGTTACCTGTTACTTTAGATACAGTATACTGTATATCTATTGCAAAACACCAACAAAATCTCAAAGTATTTGCTCTCAAGGCATTGTGTATACATTACACTAAATATTTACCACAGTCTGATAACAATCACTTCTGACAAAAAGCACATTAAGTATGTGCAAGTTACCATTTTATTCTCCCTCCTAAGTTGCAACTGTAATCACATTTGACAGTTAACAGTGTTGCACACATAATATTAATGTCAATTAACACCCACAGTTATCCATTTCTAATATGAAGGGCGAGAGTTTTACTAATCTTTAGTTGTTGAGAGGAAATGCATAAAGGCATACACATTGGGGAAATGATAACAAATAACACTGAACACAGACAACCTGAGGTTAACACATAGAAAACACATATTCAAGTAGTGAAACACAACTACAATGTATAGCAGCAGTCAAGTCAGAAATACAGCACAGTAATGGTGGGGATTGTTTTGTGTGTATTTTAAAGACCTACACTCTTTCAATGAAAGAAAAACAGGACTGTCTACATACACACACACACACACACCCCATCAAGCCGTGATTACTCCATTTTTTGCATGCCAAACAGCTGGAATGTGACAGACAAAATCACTTCAAAACACAAAATGATGTGGCACATACAAGTCGTTGCCTCTGTATTCCATGATGCATTAAATCCTGTATTCACCGGTTTACGTCATTAACGTTAAAATCTAAGAGATCAGTTACATATTTCATATCGAGAAAGTTTATCTAATACCTTAAACTACTTTCACAATCTGATAATCCCATTGCATCAAGATACTTATTGCATTAGGTAAATACATTTTAGCAGCAATACTTAATTAATGATCTGTGTTAACACTAAGGTCATATTCTGGAGGGTTTGGCTACATCATTAATTTCAAGCACTTGCAATTTAAATTTTAAGTGCATGTCACGTGCATCGCAAAGGGTTAAAATACTGCAGTTATTACTCTGGCCAGCAGAGGAAAAGTGACTGGCTGGGCATTAAAAAACAGAACAATTAAAAAAAAAAATCCCATCTCTCCAACCCATCATGGAATACATTCAGGCTATCTGTAACTTAAACACTTACACACTTTATAAAATATAACAGCGCAAAACAACCAGAGACGATAACGTTGTTGTAGTTTCACAGTATTTAAAAACTATACATCCAGCTATGGGGTAAAAGTTTAGGGAAAACACTCCAGCAAGAAAATGTGAAGTTATAAAAGTCCCAGTGTCGCAATACATAAACTGTTACTATGTACTTGTTAAACCTTTAATTGAAGCTCCCCTCCCTCCCGTAATCCCCTTCCCGCTATATGTTGGGGTGTGAGGGGCCACCAACATGCAAAAGATGAAAGCATCCAAGTACCCCACAAAACACAACCACCCAAAACATTATACAGTCATCCTCAAGATCATGCTTTTAGCACAAGAAGCCAAACACCCAAGAAAAAAAAAAAGAAAAAAAACTTGAGAGTACATTGAGAAATAAACATATTTAACATTCATTCGATGGACTGCATGGTTCTGACAGCCAAAGTCACAAAAATCACTAAGACAGGATTTGTGTCGTTGTGGTGTCTCCTACTTGTTTCTCCTCCATTTTTCCTTCACAAGGCTCAGACAATATTAAGGACCGTTAGCATCTAAAGCGTCGCTATGCTTGCTGATGAATGTCCGTGTCAGCATTCACACCACAAGACCAAACTGGGAGATTCACTCCAACGTTACATCACAGCCAAGATTTTACACATTTCCTACATTTTGGTGTATAAACCCAGTCATGCTACATTACAGCTGATTGCCGTAATTCTCTGGTAGAGGAAACAAAACAAAAAGTACTGTAAATAGATAAATTACAAGGTCAAAGAAGAACCTTATCACAGGGCAAAGACAGCTGTCAAACGCAACATACATCACTAATGTTCCACAGCTTTTCACAATGATACAAGCATGCTACCTATTCCCAGAAAAGCTGCTCTTAAAAGTAAATCTTGTGCTCTCCAGTGACATAATTAACAGCCTTTGCCCTGCTAAAGAATGGGAACGCTCAAATAATCTGATAACTATACTTATTCTTGGTGATATGAAACATTTAAAATTATATTCACCAGAGTTGGATCCAATATGATGCCTTCTTAGCATCAGCTGCCCTTCCTTAGTTTGAAACTATCCTTGTATTTTGAGAAAATCCCTCTTGATGAACCTTCAACTTCACTTAATTTTTTAAAAAGTGTACTCTATTGGTAGAATTCAGTTGTGTTGTGAATGACCACGTGCCATTTACCTGGCTGACATGATTATAAATGCTCTGAAGACTTTTTCCTGCAAAAAAAAAAAAAAACCCCTTTCAATATGTGCAAACTCCTCATCTAACCAGAATTAAAGAGCAAATGCTTTACAGGGTTCTCCAAAGTTTTCTTCATGTTTGCTTACATTTCTTTCCAGTAGTTCAGGTAACAGAAAACAAGATGTTTTGGGTAATAAACGGAGAGAAAAAGGTGACAGGTTTCATTATTTCTGATTGAGATGTGATTAGATGAATTTTCCTCCCATGATAAGGTTGTTCTGCTAGCCCCTTTTCCCCCCTTGCCTGTGCATGGGGGCAGTGAGCACTGCAGCTACCACCTCCCTCCCACCCCGTCCACCAGGTCGCGGAGGGGTCCGCACCCCTTCCCTCCCCTCAGCAGGCAGACCCTTCCCCCCTAGTAAAGGGTAACATGTTCCCTGGGTAAAAGAGGTTCCCTATATTGTCTCCCATAGTGAATGACCTGTGCAGAGAAAGAGAGGCTTAATTAGAATGCAACATAATCCTACAGCAACATTTATATTCAGGGTTCGTACAGCTTTAAAGAGTACTTTTCAAACACGTTTAAGGTACTTAAACCAAGACGGAGCGTTTATCAGTCGTTACTCTAAATGCAATTGGGAAGAAATAAGTCAATAAATTCCTTTTATCTGTGTTTATATATTATCTATATTTGTCACTTTGTTGATTTTACAAATATTCAGGATTATTTAAGGCTTTAATTTCCAGAAAAAGTGATCAACAGAGGACTTATTTAGCTATGAACTACGAGTGAACACGCCAGGAGACAAACATGTATATATGATGACGGGATCGTTTCATTTAAAATATTGAAAGATCTTCGGTTCACAAAATGAAAATCAAGCATTTTCCAAACTTTGTACGAACCCTGTATATAAAATACTGAAATCAGCACAACTTCATATTTATTTTCAACAATATCAAATAGTAAACTGACCCCAGTGATGAGGCACACTGCGGTGGAAACAGTTACACCCCGTAAAAGGTTGCCAGCCGCTCCTTCAGTGGCATGGGGAACTGATCTGAGAAGCGACTCCAGTTTTCCTCTCCCACCTGGTTCTTAAACCCGTGAAGGATCTGAAATGAAACACCGGGAGAAGTTCATACCAAGCTATAATGGAGTGCTGCCTTTCAAAATAGATCTCGTGCACGACAGGGTTATTATCAGTGTGTCAACTGTAGACACTGCCGCTTCTCTATTTGGCCACTTGAGGGCAAACAGGGTGACTGAGTGAGCGAATGAACATAAATGTGAGTGAATCTTCTCAAAAGACAGATGTTGTAGTTCATAAGTTTAAATAATCATACTATTTTGCTGAAACAGTACTCAATTAGTTCAACCGTTTGAATTGTGATTTAGTAAATTTCACTCATTCGTGTTTAAACACTGGGCAATTTTCAGCTTTTACCTTGCAGAACATGTCTCTGAGATCATCCTTTGGATTTACCCAGGAGGCCACTGCGTCACAGAAGAATATAAAATCCTGTTCCAGAGAAGAGATGTGAGGCAACATTTCAACTTGTGGAGCAACTGACAACATAATGACCACGCTACCATTGTACTGCTGGACCTCACCTGCACTACACCTCCCGGATTTACACTGATCATAGTGCAAATTCCTCTGAATGCAGAGTCTTTCTCCTCATTGTCTCTTATATTCCGTAGAGAGGTGCACCTGACAACAGGGACGACCAAATTTAACATCAGACATATAAAAAAAAAGAGACAATTTTAGAAACTTGCAATAACAACTGCCACTATGAATGACTATTGCAAATACCTATATGGATCAATACACTAACAATATATTTGTGAGAAATAAACAAATATAGCTTATTTCCATCCTTAATACAATGGCAATGTTTAGGTGTTTTCTTATCATCATCAAAACTTGTCTTCCTTATCAGTAAATACATATTAGACTATGTATACATCCATGTGAGGAGAAAATTGTGTCTATCATGGCCTAAGGGATAACCACAACAAGTGAAGCATGCACACAAAACTGATTAAAATAAAAACAAATCAAACATTTTTACTTTTAACAAAAACTACTTTGAGCTCTTATGATTTCACTTTTGTCTATGAGCAGTGTGTTCAGCAAAACCTCATCTTATAGCACCTTGAAAATAACATTACTTTTCGATTGACTAGAGAAGGTTTGGGGTCACTTTGGGACAGGCACATGCAGCTGGGTGACTACTAAATGAGAAAGGGATTTAGGAATGCTCTTTTGCAGCAAAGACTGCATCCTTTCTCGGTTGTTGAACCAGCAGGCATGTGACAAATCTGATCCCATGCATATTTTAGGTTAGCGACAATTAACAATGACAAAAAACTAGAAATTAAACAAATTAATGTATAATACATGAAGGTGCTACTGAGGCAAAAACAAAATCACAAGTAGGACCTAAAAGAGGACAGGGTTAGTCACATGGTTGGCAATGATTACAAACTGATAAGAAAAACCAAAAAAACAACTGAAAAGACTTCTTTTGAGAAGGAAAGTGAGGAGTGAGGAGAGGATAGCAACAGGGGAGAAAAGGGAGCAACAGGAGACAGACGAGAAGATAGGAAGAAAGCAGAGAGAAGATGAATTAAATAAAAGATTGAATAATACACACCAGGGTCTTATAAACTGCTGTAGCATGGGTGCCACCTCTTGAGGACAAACGTAACCAAGACGACCAATTGTTATTGCTAAGGTAACGCAATCACGGTTACACACCACCAAACGCCAACCAAGACATGAGCAATGAGGAGGGGAGGAGAAAAATAAAGAAAAAACAAACAACTCAGAGACATAAATCAACAGAATCTGTGTATGATAATAAATAGAAGACTTCACTAGCGTTGATTATTACTGCCCCTTCAGTCAGGGGAAGGGATGTAAAATATGACACTCTAAAAAAAACATACAACACGTTTAAGGGAGAACACATTGACAACTTTGACAGGACATTCATAGAAAAAGGCAAACAATGGCATCTGCTTTCAGAAATCATATGGATCGAACAGCTATTCAAATCTATTGTGAAACTGATTGGAAATTCATTAGCTTGATTTTAAAATGTGGGTCTCATGTAAAGACACAGGCTAGCTGAAGTATAGCATGTGTATGTGACTGGCCTAAACATGTGTAGTTCACTTGGGCTTACATAGATTTCTCCCTTAAACTCACAAATGTTAATTTTTACATAAGAAACAGAAATGGTTGTTTTTTTTTTTTTTGTTCTTTTGAAAAGAAATGACAGATTACTCCAAGCCAACTACATGGAGGGAGACTAGTATCCAGCACAGCAGGTTCTTATGAGGCAGAGAGGAGGGAGGACCTAAGTTTAAGAGACACAAAACTATGCAACATTCTCATTAACAAACAGGCATTTATGAACAGTCCAATGACACATGCAGAAAGCAGATGGTATGCTCATTAGAATAAAGTTCAGTGCAGGATAAGCTGATCAGAGACAAGTGCTGCCATGCACTGTCCAAGAATTTACTGCCACACCCACCTTTTAAATGACTGTGGTATTACATGGCCGTCTATTTAAATTTAGTTCCAGTGATAAACTGGTTCTCTTCAATCTCTATGACAGATATGACAAATACACTTGGACAAAACATCTGATTTTGTTAATTATTACGATTATTACTTAATACATTTTGTATCATTTACTGTCGTGTTTTCAATGATTATATTGAAAACATGAAACAAAGTAGATCAAAGATTGATGCAAACGTGAATAGATTCTTATGAAACTCGACTGGTCGACACGGTTATGATTATGTATCCTGCATCAAACATTGGCCATTCTTAACAACATTTAACATCTATTGGCAAATATGCATCCACATTTAAAGAACAGTAAATAAAAGCAACAAATAAACTGACAGCAAACAAACAGGAACACATCTACAGAGTCCCTAGATTTTCTTTAATTTAGGCAGGTTACACTTCACCCTTGCAATGCTTCTTTTTGACGAGATGGTCTTTGACTCGTCAAATTATAATTTCCAATTCAATAGGTAAAAACAAGAGCACAGTGTAACCTTTTTTTAATGTTAATGCTATGCTATGTGCCCTACATTTAGTCAGTTTAGGTGTTCTCTCAATCATTTATGAGTAGTTATTGTTTAAGTGTTCAGCAAATGTCTCATGGTAACAGCTAACTATGTGAGGCTGTGAACTCACCTATCTATCTCACACACTGCCTGCACTTTGCATTTTTGTTCTGCTTCAGTATTCTGCTTTATTCTCTAACTGATGGTGCACAGTCAGTCCACATTAGTTAATTCCAAGACTGGGCACTTACATGGCTCGCTTGATTCAAGAGTGTCAAGAATTTCACACAAGGGCTCGCCCAGGGTTTCATTGTCTTTTATCTCCATGTACAGGCCACGCTGCCAGGTTGCAAATCAATAGCTGAAATACTTTGCATACTTTGGTGAAACCAGCGAAACCTGTAAGGCTCATGGCTTGGGAAGGGTTTTTGGATAGAGATTAAAGGGCAGGGACTCTAATGAGTGTGGTGAATCCTGGCTGAATGGACCTGAGTGTGTGAGCACCTCCCTGTGTGTGGCGAGCTGGCTCAGCACTGCCACCGAGTGGTACCTGTGTTCTCCAGCAGAGTCTTTGGGGTATTGGGCCTATTAATGATCTCCACCAGCTGGTGCAGCACCATGGCAATGTACGGCTGCATTTCAGGCCCTAAGGGTGTAGGAACAATAAGAAACCATGGAAAGATATCTGTTGACTGTTTGCTCTGTAATTTGATAACAAAATATACAGTGGAATGGGTGACTTATTGTGAATGTTTATAGAAAGTAAAGAACTCACCCATTTGTATCGATATCTCTCCAATTGCCCATGTTGCATTGTTGCACACTGATATTAATTCTGGATTTAAATTAGTACCCAGTATGGGCATAAAATCAGCTGAAAGAAGGAAAGCAAGTCAAACTTAGCAACTGACAACACATTTTTGCCAAACAGTGTTTCAGCAATAACAGCACAATACATACCAATACATGGTTTGACATGCTGGAAACAAGCCTTGGTCAGATCGCCTAGCAGAGCAAAAGAACTCTGACGCACTTCTGGCATTTTGTCCTGAACAGTTGGAGAGAACGACGTAGGTGAACAATGCAAGTGGATTTATCAGTTCATCAGATAAGTGGAACACTGACAGCTCCTTACCTGCATGCACTGGTACATGAGTGTGAGGATGTTGCTACGAGCCACCAGCTGCTCAATGGTGCCTCCTAAACCCTCAGCCAGTCCACTAAGAAGATCCAAAGCCACGATCATGAAGTCTTTGTCAGGGGCCTCATACTGGTCTGGCTGTGACTGATGAAGCTAGAGGAGTGAAGGATGGAAGAGTTTAATTAAAATTACTTCTCTATCCCAAAACTAAATTTGAGTGAGGTCCACACTGTTAGCGATTAAAGGAAAACATTTTACCTGTACATTAAAGCTGCATTAATTGTTTTGGCCACTTGGGGGCAGTGTAAAAAGCTAAAAACACAACATTGACGTAGTTTTGGTATCGTTTCTGTGTCCACCTGACAAATGTATGTCCAATATCAAATCTCCGTTTAGCTTTGTTTGGTTTTTGCCAATTCCTGAGGGAAATATCTGGCTTTTTAGCAGCTAGATGCCCCACAATGTTCACCAGCTAGTTGCTAACTTTGTCTATGTCTTCTGTTGGGAGCTTGGCAGATAGCGTACAGTGGGTTTACCAAGCTTTACAGCTGAAAACAGCTGCCTCCTGCGTCTGTAAAGGAGGTTGTTGAGAGTTGTGAGACTGCAGCAAAATAGTAAAGTTGCAGGCCATAAAACCAAAATAATGAGCTGAAAGACAAACTGTGAGTCAGGTGATAATCCTCTGTTGGTTTGTCAATATGAGCAAATCCTTTCAAATAACATCTTAATTTGTTCCATTGTTAATACAAACATAAAGATTGTAGCAGCTTTACAGGCTGTACAGGAGGTAGGGTCAAGAAGATAAAGGTCCAGCAGCTCAAACGTCCTTTTTGTATATTAAGAAAACACTAGTAAGTGTAGTGAGAGAGAGTGTGTGTATGTGCACACACTTAAGGCCTTTACACACTCACCATGGCCTGAGCAAGGGTCTTCTGGACCAGGTTGACACAGCGTTGGTACACAGGCTCACAGTAGGGCAGGAAGCCACTTTGCAGGGCAGTGGCTACAGATGACAGACACTGAGAAAGGCAGGAGGGAGGTAGATACAGTCAGTGGCCTGTCCATACAATGTATCATTATAAAAAACTTGGACTGACTCAGTCTCAAACCTGCACAGGCAGTAAATGCAGAAATCAGAAACTCACTTCTAATAATGGAAAGAGATCTTTGTCTTCATCTTTCAGCTGGTTCCACTTCTGGATGAGTGGAGGCATCAACATCTGGATGTATTCCTAACAAATAATATATATTGAATTAAGTCTTTGCACTGACACAGTATGCAACTAATGAGTGAGGCTGATAATTACAGATGCTAATGAATTTGCTAGGAAGCATGGGGGATCTTTTAATGCTTGTTTACCTTCTGAGCACAATGTCTATAACTATAACATGAGTAAGTACACTTCCCACTACTAGCACTACAAAAGACAAATGAGGAAGAAGGCTAATGTACTAATTATATATTCAGAGAAAAATGTGAAGTGAAACTGAGTCTGTGTTTCTGTTCTGCGTACCGGTTTGTTGAGATGGTGCCCCACTGAGTCTGCAAGTGTTCCTATGGCGTCGTAAAGAATGAGAAGATTTTTGTGCTGGTACTTGCTGAAAGCGAACACCAGTGTGTCCAGGATGAATGCCAGGTAGGGCACCAGCTCTGTGCAAGCCTCCTCCTCCAAAGTGGCAAAGGCACTATTTGGGAGGGATTAAAAAGAGGAGTGGGAAGGAAACATGATACAGTAAGCAATGTGTGACTACTACTTCTCAACAACATCAAGGAATCTGGATGCATCTCAACACCCGCAGGCAAAATGGCTGGGTAGCACCAATCGAAATGCTTTGCAGGGTTTCTAATGTGCCATATAATTACAAGGCTTTATCAGGGCTTCTTTGCTCACCTGCAAGCAGCCTCCTGCACACGCTTGTTGCTGTCCAGAATACGTTTGAGCAGCTCCGTCATTAGAGGCTTCAGGTAAGTATCTGGGGGCTGGCTGACAACCCAGTGGGCATAGCGGCTCAGTGTCCAGCAGGTGATGGAACGCACCAGGGCCTTTTTATCAGACAAACACTGGACGAGATGGGGAATGAGCTCAGGCAGGTATGGGATCATGCCCTGCATGCAGCCTGGAAACAGGGACAATAACAGGGTCATTTCTTCTGATTCCATATTCTGGAAACTTGTTCTTGTTCTTCTTTTTCTTTCCCGTCTTACCTTCAGCTATAGCTCCCAGCACTAGGATGCCAGACTCTTTAACAACCCACTCTGGATGGAAGAGCAGCTCTTTGAGTAGGGGCAGAATGTGCAGCAGCAGATCGTCCCTGAACACATTGGCCAACACATCCAACGCTGCAGCTGAACACTTGCCTAATATTCGGTGAAAAGTAGAGAGACGAACATACAAAAACATAGAGGTGTGCGGACAAACATCATACAGACATCACAGGTACAGTACACACAAACACAAGACAAGTAATCAATACACGGTACGCTTCCTAGCTCTTAGTAAAGAGTGTAAAGATAATAATGTTAGGGAGGCAAACATTGGAGGGAGAGCTAGACAGCTCCATTTGCACAGGCACTGAACTCACGCAGGTTCCAATCAGAGATAGTATCATCATCATCATCCAGTTCATCATCGTCATCTTCCTCTTCCTCGATCCCATCGCCCTCGTGCTGCTGGGCAACTGTGCGGGAACGATGGAAGCGCGGTCTGATGTCTTGCTCATTGTCTGGAATGGCCTCATCTTCCTCAATGTCCCCCTGATGACGAACGTACAGGAGGAAGTACATTATTTTTAACAAACAAAAAATCCACAGCAAAATTACAAATCGCCAGGAAAGTTGTACCATCATCTGTAAATGTTTCTGTTAAAATGTATAAATCTCACATGGATTTGTCCACCACACAGTCCACTTAATTGAGTCCTGAGTCATGGGGCAATTTATCGCCCTACCTACGGGTACAAATATTAGGCTATATAAACTAACCTTGAGCAGGATAATGTCAATCTCGGAGTACTTCATCCCGTTGACAAGCACCGGGGTGAGCCTGGGGAAGAAGCCAGAGGAAGAATTATGAGAACAAAGGGCAAGGATAGGTCGAAGCCCACGAGCAATCACTCGCATCTGATTCCTGCTGTGGGCTCAGTTTAATGTGACAGTTTGGTGACAGATGTTACAGCTGAGGTCAACGGCCAGGGTTCTTAATCAGCCGTCCTGAGGTGAAGAAGAAGAATATCATCCTAGTACGAGGTCTTTGCTATCTTACTGTCAAGGTTGCTGTGAATCAACAGCTTTCAATATTAGCACTGGAGTTTCAGTCTTGTATGCACATTTGTGTGTGAGTGTGTGAGTGTGTGAGTGTGTGTGTGTGTGTGTGTGTGTTCTTACTGGGAGAGGTGTCCACACAGCACTTCTTTACACACCGGCTGCTCCGCCAGAGTAAGCCAGAACTCACAGGCCTCCAAGGCAACATTTTCATCTTGGTCCTGGGTCCTCTGTAGCATGTACTGAGATGAAATTAAGAGAAACGTAACCACATATACTTTTTATTTACAAAACGGAATATTTCATTCTACAACTACAAACGACATAAGTACAATGTCTGTCCACAGGGCGTCATCAAGAGCAAAACATTAGAGAATGAGTGTGGCGATATTCTATTTTTGTTATATTCAACACATCACATGAAAAGACCGAAGCCAACAGTGCATTTGTCTGTCAATATTCTTTTACTTTTCCTGTTTGTGACACTTCGCCCCAAGCCTATTTGTGCCTACTGACCACAGAAATCCTTTAAAAATAGGTCATGAATATATAGTTTCATATTTGGGCCTTGTAGGTTTTAGCAAACTTGAAAGTGTTTTTGTTGGGGAAACTTTCCAACTGTGGATTTGGTGCACAAGTAAATATTTATGGCACCCTAAGTTTCCATGTTCATCATAATGAAGGAGCAAGACGATTTTACAGTGAGCCTCACCGTTGCACTAGGGGTCAATGGCACAGAGGAATAAACTCTATCAGGCTTCGGCTAGACAGACGCCACTTTGACCAATCAATTCATTACTGCTTTTTGTTTTTTATGAGAATGGTTAATAGTAAGGAAAAATCTAAATATTGTACATAAATACAGAAAATCCCTAGACTTATCCGATATTTATTCTTCTATCTTTACACCAGTATTTAACTAAGCCTTGCTCTTTCGCTCACACTTTCTCAGCTTCTAACCCCCTAAACTCCCTCACCTCTACGATGTTATGCATATGTGGCAGGAGGCGGTCCAGGCGAACTTCCAGCAGCATGACTAGAGCTCTGCACACATTCTTCCTCACTTCTGGTTCCTCGTCTGTCGCCAGGGCAAACAGGTTCTACAGAGGATAGAAAGACAACAGGGTCAAATGTCGTATTTGTGTGAAACAACAATTACTACTACTACTGCTACTACTACTACTGCTACTACTACTACTACTACTACTACTACAACAAACAGCAATAATAATATTTGTTTAAAATTTGTAAAATAAAAAAAGCGTTTGACTGTACATAGTATTTAGCTATATGTTTTGTAGCAATTTGCTATTAACATAGATGCAAGTTTCCACATGGCATTACTGCAGACGACTTATCTCTGTACCTGTTTTGCTACTGTGTACTTCAGCCTCTTGTCACTTTATTACTTCTTGACATCTTAAAGATAATACATGTTGTTCTTAAAAGCACCAAAACTCAATATTAAATTTATAAATAATAAATAATATTAATTTTGTTACAATATTACATACAAATGTTACCCTGGTAAAAAAATCAGACTAGCATTTTATTTTAAGTTAATGTTCTGTATGTCTCCTTCCAAGCCCAATACTCGTACAGTACTAGAAACTATGATTACAAAATTAAACCCCAATCACAACTTGAACTTTTTCACAAGGGGTTTTAAATAAAACATGATTTTAAAGATTTTAAGTTAAGAGGTAAATCACAGACAGACTGTCAGTGCAGTATCCAGTATTTACAGAGGTGAGAGATAATGACGTGAGGGAGGTCCTCCTTGCAGGGGACAGACCGTCTGTCTTCCAGACAGTCCATGTTTATGTGCCTCTTGGGTCTATACAGTAGATGCAAAAAGACAACAAATGCAGTCAGACTTGCCTCAATGAAAGGGTCGATGTGCAGCATAAGAGCCTGAGTCCTGCTGATGATGAACTGATTGACGCAGGCAATAGCATGAGACCTGCAACACAATAACCACAACACCACCACTTAAGAGCCACAAGGACATGTTTTCCTCACATGTCGCACACTATGAATGCAGCCCCTGTCTTCTTCTTTGCTTCGTCTCCAGTGATTAAACCTAAAAAGATTAAAACTCTTGTCTTTCTGTCAACAGGGCTGTAGGGTAACGACAGACTGACACTTCAACTTTACAATTACACAGAACTTATACAGACTGTGTGTGTGCATGTAAGTGCGTTTGCTGCATAAAACATACTCACTAGCAGATGATTAAATCATGAGTTAAGATATGTTCCAGATAAAAATGCACTATATCATAAGATAGGGGAAGGCGGGGCTAAAATATAAATGGTCTTCTTGCCTACTGAAGATTTACTAGGTCATAATCTCATGCAAGAAATACAATAAATGTTGGAACTGTAATTCATATCAGTAGAAAGCACTAGTCACAAAAGTCTGTACAATGAACTGGCGACCATGTATCATCAATAAGACAAACTTAATGACATTTGCAATGCCATCGATCTTCCAAACCAATCACGTAGCAGTAAAAGATTTTCACACAGGAAATGAATTAACATAGTTGGAGAGAATAAAGTTCGATGTAGGCATGACTGGAAGTTAACTTTACAGCCAATAAACAAAAGGTATACCTAATCTTAGGACTGTTGTGCTTAAAAAACTGCAAGAACTTTGGGATCATGATGTTCAGAGGACGGTCCAGCATGTCACTGTCCAGGATCTCAGCGGAGTCCTCACAGATCTTCTGCAGGGCTCCAAATGCTCCCTGAGGGACAAAATAAAAAGAAGAAAGGAAAAAATTTAAAGAAAATCCCACTGTTGACACATATGATTCCATAACTCTGTCATTACAGGTTATAGCCCAGACTACTGAGATACTGTGGTTAATAATAATATTATTAATAATAATATTGCCTCTGCAGTGAACAAACGTAACATCATGTCATAAGTCACATGGAGGAAAGTTCCTGTTTGCTCAAAAATGTGTCCATCCATTATCTTCAATAGGATTCATCCACTTCTGCTGTAATAAGCCTTTAAATAGTTGGGAAACAGTCACAAATAGACACAATCTCACTATTTTAATACAAGCTGCTCAACTGATGGTTAGTATGCACGTTCGCAATATGCTGCAGACTTCAGTGTCTCTCACAGAAATCTGAGCCTAAGAAGCAGATACAACAGCACAGCATGGACTCTGAAGCTGTCTGAAATGTGTTTCCATGGAAACCGCTCCCCTGTCGGCATTCCTTTGAGATGACAGATACAGAATGGTCTCAAAAAAATATGGAGGAGCCAAAGGGATGCAATAAGACGAGGAGGGTAAGGTTGCGACTGTGTCAAGGTCACGAGCAGGTGCAACCGAGGTGAATTAAGTCATGGCTCTCATTAGTATACAGATGACTCAATTTCACCTTGCAGGGGGGTGTAAAATAGAAAATAACATCACTGAACCAGCACAGGAGATTTCTTTTCTTTTCAGTTTTTAGGTAAAAAAAAAAAAAAAAAATAGCAAGCAGGACACATTGAAACAGACAGAAAAAAAGAGGATTTGACGTGTATGAGACATGCTGGTGTTGAGTACCAGATTCAGGCATGATGTAGCTGAATAGCACAAGATTTAACACACTCGTGAACACAAATGATGCCAGATCTAGCTGATTGAACAATTGTTGACTTATGTTTCACTTATGTTTGATAATTGTGAAAAATAAGCTAAAATGATTACTTGAATATCCAATCAATAGAAGATTAATCAGCAACTATTTTGATCCTTGATTAATCAAATCATTTTTAAAGCAAAAAGGTCTACAAATTGTACAGACATATGAAGAGGTCACCCTGGTTTCTGGGAAATTATGAATAGTATTTTCTGATATTTTGTAGACACATTGAGAAAAACTGATAATGATGAATTACGCAGCATCAGATGCTGAAATGTAGCTCCATTATAACATAACCCCTGTGAAAATATATGGAGCAGGACACAAAACCGCTCCCACTGTGGTGTGCCCGTGTGTCAACAGAAAAGGGCAAAGAAATGGGAGTGGCCTTCAAGCATTCCAGTGACGCCGAAGTGTCAAAAGTGTAATCCTCCCTTCGAGTCCAGCTATGGAAGGTCATTAAACGCGGGAATGTAAGTCATGCAGATGACAGCGAGCCAGGGAAAAGAGAGGTATGCATTTTAGTCAAATAAACAGCACTTTCAGAATGGAAGTTTGAGTAACGGTACAAATGGGGTGCAGAGGTGACAAAGCATTTTCATACGTGATTGTTCGCCCTTAACTTAACCCTTACAACACCATCGCAACCACTTTTCCAACTGCCATTTATCAAACCTATGTAAAGCCATCCACCGACATTACACTTGGCATCCAACACACCTGCTCACGTCTTTTTATAGAGCATGTAGAGAGAAGGGTACGGTGTGGTTGCACAAGGGGCTCGCCCTATAACTGCTGATTTTCTTTTCTATATTATAGAAATGCTTACACTTTGTTGTATGTATTGTCAACCATTAAGAAGGTTACATAAAGAAGACAATGAAATAGCCCAACTGTAGCCCAAACTACACACCCCAATTTTAAATGTATCCAACCCGTCTTTCTGCCCAACATCAGCAGACATCGGCTCAGTGGTGTTTGCACTCACAGTGATGAGGATCATCTTACATAGAGATACTGATGTACACTGATGAAATGGCCCTGAAGCCAAAATGTATTCACACATGTTTGTCATTGCTTAGATTACACGGTGCATACAGCTCCGAAACTGTAGGCTGGCAGCCACCAAAAATATTCCTAAAATAAATATCAAAAGGTGGCAGTAATGGTCTCTATGGCTCCAAAAATTAGTTTGGCACAACATGCATATTTGCTGTCTCTACTAGTACATTTACTAGGTCTGCTGTATAGTAGACAGTATTCATCCTGGTTTATACATATCTACAGACACTGACATTCATTTGAACTTTTCTGAATAAGTATTGCAAGCTATTACTAATTCTCAACAACAAATGGCATAAAGCGTAGTAAAATCTCAGTGTATCGTTGTCCATTTGGCTTTTGTCCGCAATGACATATAGAGGTTGTAAAATACAAGCCACCGCAGATCAAGGAGAAGCTTTTGAAAGCACTCCAACATTCAGTTCCATGTGCCACCTGACACAAATGCCACAAGGCTGCAGGTGCAGTGTACAAAAACACGTATGCAAGAGCCTTCCTTATAAAAATATAGTATGATAGTAGCTGTCAACTTGAAGCCTAACATTGTCCATTAGATATAAAACAGCTTCACAAAATACCTGTCTCACGGGTCGTGGGTAGCTGTAATTGACAAAGTAAGGCTTAGCATAAATGCAGATTGTTATGGAAAACAACTACTGTTCACCTTTTTTAAAACTGTATATCTACATACGCAGGACTAAACTGTGCCTTTAAACTTCAGTGGGCAGAGAATTCTGCTTCAAACCAGAGTTGAGGCAGAAACCTCGCCACCAGCAACCCTATAAAGCCCTACAAATAAACTGCAGTTGTTTTGGGCTTAAGAGCAGAATAAATAAGATTTATTGCCTCTTTAAATTAAACTGGTGACCTCTTGTAACAGTTTAAATCAATTAAACTACCATTATTTCCATTAACATTCACTACATCCACAAAAAAAGCATAAGTACATGGGCACACTGGTGGCTCTATCAGGCTGTTAAAGTATTGAAAACACTTAAGGGAAACAGCATGAAAAGATCTATGGCGGTGCAAAAAACCTTTGCTTCCCTACCATGACGACACTGGACATAAACATGCTAATGAATAGCCAGAAATACTGAAAGCTTTTAGAATACACATTTTGAACCGTTTACCCCAAGATTAGAAGACACTTTTTTCATCCAGCACCAAGTTAACCATCTTCAACATCAGACGCTAAGAAGCTTTCCAGCCTCCAAGCTGCTTTTCAAAATCATAGGGAGTCTTATGAGGAGTTGCCACATTTGGTCGCTGTTCAGTGTTAAGCCTTGTACACACATACACACTTCAAGATCCTCTGCAGTAAATAGCTGACCTAAATCTCAGCATCTGAATGAGCTTTATAAGAAAGGCGGGCTGTGGTGCTACGGTGGCGACATTTTTTCTGTCACACCTCTTCCTTAAATTTCAGACAGTCCAGCTCAGTGAAAATCATATGAACATTCGTGCTCCAAGGGGTGATGAGTAATCCTGCCGGGATACGTTTGAAATGCCCTTCAACTCAGCTGAATTTAATTTTGTGCGTGTTCTCCAATGTAATGTATCCACCTTCCCTATAGTGGCTGATGTTACAAGCACACGCAGCGGGCAGCATATTAATGACCAGGGAGTGTATGAGCCTAAGTATGGGTGTGGCACCATTACACACATCAGATGATGCAACATCCCCTATGAGCTACTGTATTGTAATCTCAGTGGTCACTGCAATGGAGCATTTGTCCCCTACTCGAACATGCTGATATCATCAAGAACTAATGACATCAAGCACTTATTATAATATATTATACTGTAGAGCAATTAGAGGAGTTACAGAGATCAAAATACAAACAACTGGATAAGGATGGACAATAGAGAAAAAACGACTTGCAGCATAAGACAGAACAACATCTTGTTGTTTTGCTGATATGCACATTATACAAGCTATTCCGGGTGACGACGATGTGCGCCAAGTCAGAAAATGAGGTCATAATGGGTTTTTTGGTAAAAAGGATAGAAAGAGAATAAATGATTCCATGTTGAATAATCTGCAGTTGTGGCTGTCGCTCCAGCTGTGAGACTGCCTTTAGCTCATCTGGCCAGCAGGATGCTTTCCAGATGCCGCTTTACAGCTGACCTAGCTCTCCTCCCTTTCCACAATAAATAAATAAACGAATAAACAGACGTGCAGCGCTGTGTGCGCAAACACACTTATTATACCACAAGTGTGCTATGACATATGATCACAAGTGTGCATATACCATCTCCCTCACACTCACACACAGCTATGACTAAAAGCTGCTGCTAAACAAGTTATACAAATATTACATTACCATCATTTCCAAATAAAGCCAAGTGTAATCCCTAAAAGCTACTGCCGTATAGAGGTATAGCATATGTGGGCTGGGGTCCAAAGCTTGCAGATTAAGCAGATTGGGGGGGAGGGGGGCATCATGGTATGTCAAACATGTTTAATTTTAGGATTTGAATATGGTCAAATCCTGACAGTTCTCTGTAGAGTGAGACACACTCATCCACATCATCTTCATCACACACAAACGTTCCACATACGTTACATGTTCAGTGCGGCCAGCCCGTTAGTTTTGTCAGAAAATATATAATTTATTCAGATTTTAAATGTCATCTAATAGCTCTTATTTAGGCAAAAAATGATATCCATATGCATTTATCAAATCCAGTGATTATTATTATTGCCTTCGTGTTCTGCTCTTTGAGATTTTATGGTCTCCTATAGAGAGTCACTAATCTGTGTCTGTATGGAGACAGCTTTTCTGTCGTCATTAGTATAGTTTAAAGATATAACCCCATTCTGCAGGCCGCGACTGATGAGCAGAAAATCCGATATCACAATCATGAGATCACAGGTACATCTCCCGTGTTCATCCTCACCTCACACGTGTTGTAGTCCTCAGAATCCAACAGCAGGCAGAGTTTAGGCAGAAGCTCTGGCCAGTTCTGTAGCTCTCCTTTGGAGGCAATGGTGGTGATGAGGATACCTGTTACAGGAAGGATTTATTATTAGTTACACCGGTGTGACAAAACTACAAAGAATACGCAGACACTGATTTCTTAGTGATAAAAACGAATCCAAGAAAAGAATCACTCAAATGTAGACCTTGAATACCACAATGCACTTGTTTGTTATCCATTTATAGAGATATGCTGCAAATATTCATTCAGTTTGCGCTGTCACAAAAACAAAATACAATTTATTGAACGCAGCAAATAAATCACATTAGGTTAGGCTGAATGGCTGTGTGGCTACTAGTTATGCAAGTGTATGTATCAGCATACTTGTGCAATGTAAATCACATGTAAAGTAGAATGCAGCAGTAACAACTAGGGATGCACCGAATATTCGGCTGAAACAGAAAGTTGTGATGACGCAAACAAAAACCGCGGCCAGCACACGCTTGTCTGGATAAGCGCCAACATGTCTGCGGTGTGGACGTATTTTAATATATCTGAGAAAGACCCATGGATAGCGATTTGCAAAACGTGTAATGCTGAAATTTCAAGGTCCACGTCGGGTTTAATTTATCACCTGAAATCCAAACATCCTGATTGCCATTCTGAATATGAGAAGAATGTGGCACAGAAAAGGGAAATCAATCCGAGCACGCCCACTCTGTCTGTGGCGGACGTTTTTGAAAAGGCAAGAAAGTTTTCCAGTGATGGCGCCAAGGCAAAAGGCATTACACAAAAAATTATGGAATTCATTGCCTTAGATGATCAGCCATTCCCCGTCGTAGAGGATGTGGGATTTCGTAGGCTGATTATTACTCTCATTATTCATTCATTCATTCATCATTAAGTTAAACATTTTATTTTGAATTTTATTTTATTTTATATTGTGCACTGTTGTAATATCAGTGCTAAATAAATATTTTCATACTTTTGTAATTGATTTATTCTTTGAATTGCAATGCCTTGATTTTAGTGAGTTTAGTACACAGTCATAGCCATAAATGCAATAGTACTAATAATTGGCATAATAATTTCTTTCTGTGTTTCGGTTATCGGCCGTGGTTTCCTCATTTTCGGTTTTCGGTTTCGGCCAATAATTTTCATTTCGGTGCATCCCTAGTAACAACAGAGAGTATCTGGGAGTAGACTGACAACAACTGTGATTTATCTGTAAATGTGTAGTATTTGACATCAAAAGCTGGCCTTAATCACTGATATGCTTTTGATGCTGTGTGCCTGTAAGGCTGTTTATACAAACCTTAAGAGGTGCTGTGTTCATTGCCCTGCTTTAATAAGGAGTGACACATAGAACATAGAACAAAGAAGTCCTATTCCTGTCCTAACAACATTTTAATTATAGGTAATATATATCAACAGGAAACTCCCAAGCTACATGTATAACTTAACTCGCTTTGTCTACTGCAACTACAGACGAATTCTGACATTTACCGAATAATTGATGTTGTTAGCTGTAGGTTCAACGTGACAGAATGTTGTGTCAGCAAATAAGCAAATCACCACCAGAGAGCCACACAGGATTAGTGATGTAAGGTACGTCCCAAAACACTGCTTTCAACAACCGTACACTGCACTATTAAGGTGGATATTTCTCTTTTGCGGATATGAACAAGCGAGTTATGGTGACTGAACATTTCATGTGGCATCTGAAAAGCAAGCCATCACATTCAGTGGACCCAGAGGATGCAACTTACCCACAGTGGCCCGGATGAGGGGAGACGAGTCTCCGATGTTTTGGAGGCATTCGCTCTTGATGAAATCAGACACGCCACTCGGGAAGTTCTGATAGTGGGCTTTCACATTGTTCTTCAATATCAGCCCGCTGAGGGACCGCGTAGGTTCGTCTTGGTGGGTGGAGAAAAGACTGATTAATGTAAATTGTAAAATAAAATTTTAGCTGAGCACAAATACTCCGGTAGAGTAAAAGTGATTTTTAATTATTCACATTATTCTTGTTGCCTTCATATCTTTTTTAATTTAACACAGCACAGTACTTTAACTGGGAAAATGCAAACTGCCAGACTAGATACTGAAATGATGGATAGCAACAAGAACTATTTGTATGAAATAAAACTAAAATAAATACTAATATACTGAAATACTGAAATACAAAATAATTGTGGCTTGTTGCATTTGAATTAAGAGCAGTAGTGCATCCACCAGCAGCATCCTAAAATGTCTTAACACCACTTAACATGTCGGTCATCTACTGTGCAGACAGTCAAGCCAACAGTTGAGTGGTGCCAGGAATTAGGTTTAAAATTAGAGTGACCCATATTCTGAGTGCCACATCATCTGTGGCAAAGATGTCATCGGGTCACCCGAGTCATGGCCAAACAGACCTGTCACTGAGCAGTTACATGAAAATGACATGTCCAACGTTCACACTGTCCAGTGCAGTCAGATGATCTAGGAACACATTGTACAGATGCGACAAAACGACACACTGAAACGGACAGAACAGAGAGCTTACCTTCTGATTTTAACTTGGTCAAAACAAATATCAAATAGTTGTTGAAGTCTGGATACTGGTTCAGCTGCTCAAGTCTCTGAAAGACGTGGTTGAGGAAAACAAAGTGCTAACTGTATAAAGGTTATGACCACATTAACACTTTAGACTGTTACATGGTAACAACAGCACAGACAGATTTTTTTCATCCGAAGAAACACGTGAAGAGCAGAAGTTTATGTAGTCAAGCGTAATGTAACAGTAAAACAGTGTTGTTTGTGTATTTGTAAGGGGGTCATGAATATGTCATATGACGTGACTTACTGCTGTACGTACCCAGAAGCCAGATGGCGTATTTAGGGCTATAACAGCAGCTTGTCTATGAGTTAATGATGCAGTGCATATGAAGCATTACATAAGGAAGTAATTTAGGGTCAGCATGCAACCAGACAGAAAACATAAGGACCAGCAGCATGGAGCAGTAGATGATAATTGTCACCTAAATTAACTGTAAATAACAATAATGCAAAAGTATGTGGCGAATGATACAAAATAATGAAGCAAATGTACCTTCGACAACCGTCCAGAGACTATAAGACAGATTTATAATGCACTTTAAATGTTACACTGCTATAATTACTTTTATTATATCTATTTTACTCACATTTCAATTGTGATCTAACATCTCTGATTTATGATAACACATTTTTATTTATAACCAAACACTTCCTATTTGTTTCTTTGTCCTGTCATTTTGGGATGCTGGTGAATGCATTAAACACCAGTGATTTCCTTTTTTTAAATTTCTGTTTATGCACATAAGCTTACCGTGCACATTTTAGTCTAATACTCTTATGACTTCTTTTAGAAACTGGTGTCATGTTTATGGTGTCAGATAATTTAAGCCAATAGGTAGACACTAAATGAATGTATGGTGACACTTTTCTATTAAAAGCATCATCAATACATCATTATTATAATACACAGCAGTTTAATTCAACAGTTGTTTTGCTTTGGAAACGTTTCTGACATGTAAAACTATATTTTAATGCAGTGTAAAATGAAAATCATGTTTAGCTATAAGCTCCTTACAAACCCAACTGATCAGCACGTTGCACCAGTGTTGTCAGACGATTAGGTAGCATGAATTGGCTGTTAACTTAATTAATTTTGCAGGAGCCTATTGCAAAGTATACGGAGGCGATTAACTGCTGGATCAAGCTCACATGCGACGTTGGACACAATACACCAAGGTCTAATGTTATAAATGGCCAGACGTGAGGACTCCAGCACGGCACGGCACGGCCTGCTTGTGCTCGTAGCATATCGGGCTTACTAGATCACCTGCGTTACCTGCTTATAACTGTAACCACCTCGGCTAGTATTAGCTATCGCTATCCTGTTGAGTCTTATCTGACATTATTCGGCACTAACAAGTGACCAAACATGTGTTGTCCACCATGTCCGGCTCAGAAAAAGGATACCTGCTGGACGGATCTCTGTGTGGACGTATCTGGCGACTGAGACTCTTTCAGCAGCTGTAAAATTTGTTGAAGTCCTTGCTCGTCTGGCTTCCACTCACACTCCATCTTGCTCTGCTGCTGCAGCGGATAAAGAAAATAACATTAGCTAACACAGAGAGGTTTGTCATCAAACGACACACTTAATGCGCACCGCTAAGAGAAGAACAAGAAACACGTTAACGCGCCATTACCCGGACGCATAAGCTCATTTTAGATACAGAGAGGCTTTTTTTGGGGGGTTTGTTTTTGTTTTTACCTGTTTCGACTAAGCCGACGTATTCGAGTGAAGCTGACTTTCTGTTGAAATGTGACCGTCTGTCTGGGTTTTCAGACATGGGCCTAATACGGCTGGCACATCCGTTTTCGCAACAAGCTGAAAAAGCTGTGGGCCATACAGACTCGCGTCGCATATATCTGGCTGCCTTATCAGCTGACACACGGCTGAGTGGTCCTAGTGCGAGACGGTTCATAGCCAAACATGTTTACAAATCGGCATACTGGGGATTTTTTTTATTTTTTTTTTAACTTAATAAAATATGCTCTAAAACCGTCAGAGACAGTGTGGCTGAGAGGAGAAAAGTTGAGGGATAAGGGTAAGGTTTGGAACGCAGGCTACGTGTGTTTTCAAATTTCCGACAGCACTTGAAAGCAGCACGGCTCGTCTGAAGGCCCTGTGATGTCACTGTTGTGTTGGTTTCATACATACTGTCAATGGTTGGTTTTTAATGGGAGTAAACGTAAATAGTGACCTCTAGCGGCTGCTTGTGGTGTTCCATACATATTACATATGCATATAACTATACTATATAAGATTTACACAAAAAAAAGTCTATAAAAAAATAAATAAAAAACACTGGTTAAGACTTTCTTTGTTGTATTAAGAGAATGCGAAAAAAAGTACTACAACAATTATAAATGAGACCAAAAATATCCAACTGACCTACTTTACCACTTACTAAATTTCACTTCTTTTAGTTCTCCTACTAACAGAAGGACAATGTAGATACAATATATAGACATTATTGCAATAATAACATACAACAACATGATTTTAACTTCATTCTATTTTTCTATTTGTGTTGTGTATTTGTCTTATTATTGTACTGTTGTGTAAAGGGAGTCGGGCAATGTAAGATTGTCATTGTATGGTCTAAACCACTGGGTTTCTTACTGTGCATATGACAATAAACCTCTTGAATTGAATTGAATTGAATAATATATGATAAATGATACGTAACAACGTCGTTATGTTTGCATTTTATTTCACAAACTCACCGGCTAAATACAAAGTTGGAGAATAAGTGGTGAAAAAAAAAATATTTTCTGGTTTTTGCCAAATATTTAAGAGACTTTATGTATTTATTAGAAACAATAACAATGTTTGTGACTTGATGTAAGTGATTTCTTTTCCAGTACGAGCCGCTGCGTTGACCATGTCCTTCCACTGGGTGGCAGCACACGACATAATCTGCGTGTGATCTGCCTTGAATGTCAGCTGAAGAAGTTAGCACTACATTCAGTACGCTGCTGCCTCTCAGCGTACAGAGCAGCATCCAGTGGACCAGTCTGTCTCTAGGATTGGTGTATTTTCTTTAACACTAACGTGTAGTTATTTCTTCTACAGTGATAGTTATTTTTGATTTTTTTTTTGTTTTCCCCTCACAAGGACCACTTCAGGAAGACCGAGAAGAAAACCGAGGACGACGGAAACCCAGAGAGTTTTTTTTTTTTTTTAACAATCCCTTTTGGTCTGCTTGTTAGCTTATTTGCCAAGAGAGTTGTTTTCTGCGGTCCGAGGAAACATGAGCTTTCTCTTGTGAGTTAAAATCTTGTTATGGGTGCTTATTCTGGCTTGCCATTTAGCTTTATGTTGGGGAAATATCACTGGCGTTATCGTTACGCAGCTACCTGGCTAGCCGTAGCATAATACGGGATAAGACTACTTCCCGGACTCTCCTCCGACTCGCATTGTTTTCTGTGGATGTTTTATTAGAACCGACACCAGAATTGATGGTGTATTGTTTGTATCTTACGAGTAACTGGTATTGTATTTCGCTTCATAACTTTAAACCTACACAGCGCCGACCCCAGAGCAGCTGTTAACTAAGAGGGGTTGACAGTCAGGCCTGGATATTTGCTGGTGTCAACACTTTGTGGCCACGGGCTAATCCAGACTCGATATGACAGAATCGATCAATCTGTTGTTAACCCAATATATATATATATATATTGTTTATCAAATTAACACGAATGTGTCGTTGATATTTAGCTAGATACATAAAAATACACCCCCAAATCTGTGGGTGAGATCAGAGGCTGGATGTTAAATCCGCCCTCTGGTGATGGTGTGAGTGTTGTTGGGTAAATGGAAGAAGAGGTGACGAATTTAAAAACTCCTCAGACTCTAGAAAAGCTTATACTAGGTGTAATTGGTTGACACTTTTTTTACACAGGCTACTTTATGTATGGAAGTGACCATACAGCTTTAAATGCCATCACAAAAGACTCCTTTTTGAATGTTTATCTTGGTTTCCATCAGACACGAGGGCACAGAGACACATTTGATTAGTTACAGCTGATTCCTAATGACTTAATGCTATCAGAAGCACATTTCAGCTGAAGGAGAGGGACATGGGCAACATTTTTTTTTTATTTCAAGACCTGGGTATTTGGTTCAACCGCAGTTCTGTGCCCTAAGAAAATAAATATAATTTCATATTTTCACAAAGTGATATAGGATGTCGAGTTCGATATACGTGGATTGGTTTTAGTAGATGTTAATGCTCTGACTGTTTTCATGTGTGGCCTGCCATGTTGTGATGACTCAAAAATTCTTGTTTAATGGGGCAGTGAGATGGATTGAATACAGCACCTCTCCAAATGGCCTCATTACTCACTATACACACAGAGAGACGTACTGTTCTGGGTCCCCCCCCCCCCCACACACACACACACACACACACTCTGAGTCTGCCAAACCCATCAAGTCAACGAGAGCATCAATCTTTTTGTCAGCTTTTTAAAAAGATCCAGGCTTTTTTTTTTTTTGTTTGCTAAAGTTCCTCACCTAGGAACTGGCCATGAACTCGCGGTTTGTCATCATGTCTGTCTATCTCTTCTTTGTCTCACTCTTTGAAATGTGACTCACAGTGGAAACCGTTCATCCAAGACGTTCAAGCCCAAGAAGAATATCCCGGAGGGTTCTCACCAGTACGAGCTGTTGAAACATGCAGAGGCTACGCTGGGAAGCGGAAACCTGCGCATGGCAGTCATGTTGCCCGAGGGCGAAGACTTAAATGAGTGGGTCGCAGTCAACAGTAAGTGCAAATTTCACCCTATTCCTCCTTCCTTGCACGGCCTTTTAGGTTCAGACTTCTGGTAGAGGGACTTCACCTTCACACTCCCTTTTTATTTTTACTTATCTGTCACTCTGCTGCTAGAGTCTTTATATTTGGATGCCTTCTCAGTACTTCTCTTCCTGAAAACTCAATGATCAAGAATCAGTTGAGAGTGAACTATCAAGAGCTTGGCATTCCCTCTAAGGACCACGTGCATTCATGCTGGAAAAACCACTGTGAATGTTAAATAGACTGTATTGTCTGTGCTCTGAGAGCCTTGTTTACTTTCCTCTACATTGAGACAAATGGCCGGCCAGTAGAGGCTTAATTTTCACTCGCGTCAGAGTGCCTTTAGGGTTTTAGATGTGCAGTGTCTCTGCATGTTAGCAATTGAATTAAGGTTTTATTTAAAGTCCTTTTTACTACAGTTCAGCGTAAAATTTAGATTTGACCATATTTTACACTGGTTGGAAACAGATCAGTTAGTTTTTCTTTGATTTGACTGTTATGTTGTCATTCGAGTCTCTTGATAGATTAGTTGCAGTTAATCTGGATGGACTGCATTGCATGGTTCTTCAAAGGTTTTGGTTTTTGGAATCCTTTTAGTAGCTTAAAAAAAAAAACGGAAAATTAAAGGGTGATGATGGTTTCTTTGGTTCTTGTCTACTAGTTTACTCAACAAGTTTAGGAATTTTAACTCTACCTGAGAAATGGTTTTGCTGTGTCAACACTGCAATACTTATACTCCAGTTTCATGAGAGGCTAGTGGAAATGGATCAGTGTTACTCAGTGCTACATGAGCTCTTTTAACTTGCACAATAAAGGGAAGTTAGAATAGCTTCTCCCACCACCAAGTTTATGTGACTTTCCTCATGATCTCTGTTCACGAGAAGCAGTTTGCTTCGTGTTTTAAGATTCCTTTTTTTGGCATTTTGCTTGTAATGGATTGTGACAGTAGAACAGATGGTTATGACACACAGCAAAGGCCAAAACAAACTGGGACGATTATTTGGTATGCGTCATAACCACAAGACCACCACTGGTATTCACTTTATTCTGGAATTTCATTCATCGCCTGAGCGTCTTTGATGTTGCTGTAGCTCTTTGTCTCTTTGCATACACCTTTATGTCTAGGAAAGTCTTTAATGGTGTCATTAAAGACTTTGGTACCTGTTATGAAACATGACCAGTTGACAGCATGGCAGAAACAACACACCTTTATTTATGTTTTTATATGAGAAAGATTCTTTAATCAGAGAGATTGGCTGGGTATTGCCTTGAAATATAATAATTGTGCTCTTCCTTTTAGGGCTTTCAGCTCTAAGCAAACTTAATACTAAGCCGTGGCCCTGATACAAATGTTTTGGACAAAAATAGCTTTATTGAGTAACCTTATCAAACATAAAAGGGGGCTGGTGTCTCCTTAAACAGGACCTCTCACAGAACATATGCCACCTCAGCTGTTCAATATGTATTTTTCTTCTGTGAGATTAGCAAATGGAACACTAGCACTGCCAATACTTTAAATGGATCTCTCCAACTGATGGAAAGCCAAAGTTGGCTGTATGCCCCTGGGAATGAGTGATAACACAATTTATTGCAGATAACTGGAGTGTGCCCTGGTCTGGTCTACAGTTTGGACTGGGCAGTCGAGTGGGGTGGGTAAAGGGCTGTGGGGAAACTTGATGCCAGCTATTTGTGTTGGCACACATGGTATTTAGTCTCACATACGCTTGATTTGAATATGCTCCATTTCTTTTTCTTTCAGCTGTGGATTTCTTCAACCAGATCAATATGCTGTATGGCACTATCACAGATTTTTGCACAGAGGAAAGTTGTCCGGTCATGTCTGCCGGTCCTAAGTAAGTCTTATTGTTGTATGTTATGCAAGTTTGTAGTCTTATAAACCCAACCCAGAAACTTTGCTTCACTCATCCTGGCGTGTCAAGGCTCAGCAGGGCGTAAAGTAGGGCTTGTTGTCAGTGGGACAGAATAATTCACCTCAACTTGCATGGAAATTGGACAATTAGAGTGGAATTAAATTCAGAATGCT